GATCCTCTGACTTTTCATCTTGTGCCACTGATCATTTCTGCTCCTCCTGCTGTGCTGCTGCTGTGTGGGTGTGTGTGTGGGTGTGCGTGTGTGTGTGGGTGTGTGTGTGCTCTTAATAAATAAAAGGTTATTGGGAGGTGCAGACACACCATCCCATGAGAACTATGACAACAAATGATTAAACAATGACAGAAACATGACTCTCATCAGTTCCTGTTCTTCAAACATTCAACCAGCTGAATATTTTGAAAGTCAGGTGCTTGTCCCTGGGGGTGGACAGATTCATTCAAAAATATTTCTTTACTCCTTATCTGCAAACAAGTAAAAGGTGTCACTTTACAGATCTTTATTTTATTCTCTAAACAGAAGATAAAAGAAATACTACAAAAACAGCCAAGAATGATAAACCAACACAACCTGGAGATCATGATCACATGACTATTGAGAAAAACAAAATTTTCAGCTAAGGTTAAAGGGGAACTCTACGATAAGGTGGCAATGGCTACAACTTAATCCTCTGGGGCAACTGTGACAGTCCACGAAATGTCTGCTGAGAGTTATTTTTTCACAAATACGGGGCTGAAATTGTTGTTCTGGGTCTGAGTCTGGTCACATTACATGTGTCTCTTTGAGGAGAGGTTTCACTCTTAACAGCTCGATGTCCCTTCTTTGCTTGTTACCTCTCTCTCTCTCATCGTTAGCTTTTCAATTTGTAAGAACTCATCGTCCATATACTAAAGCTCACACAAGTAGGGACGGCAAGTGATTCATCAACGCTGTCAACATCAGAAAAAGATTCATCCATGATTCTATCAGTAAAATCCAAACTCTCTCTCTCTGTGAAAACACAACACAACCATGAAGATGTCAAAAGAGATTATGGTGATGACACCTGATGACAGTGATTGCGAAAGAAAACCAGCAGTTAATTCATCACTTCCTGCCTCTGCCTTTGTTTCTGTTGTGAACACGTCTGTGCAGAAAAGCTTCTGCTGTGTTGTGCATGTGTGAAAGTTAAACTCCAGATCCGATTCTCCAGACAGAAATGGCTTAAGTCTCCTGAGACTTGAAAGTGAGTCTCACTCTCAACAACCTGGACAACTAGGACAACCAGCTTCTATGTAGTTGTGACTTGTCATTGAGAGAAACAGCTGTAATGTTGCTGGACTCTTAGACCCAAAATAACATTTTCAGTCTTTTAGTGGACGTTTTGTGGACAGTCGCAGTTGCCCCATAAGATTCAATTGTAGCCATGGCTGGACTGATTCGGTTGGAAATCTTTGTCATTCATTTAAAGACTCACTTTGATAAACACAGGGCCCTGATTGAAAATGCTCTTTAATGTATTGTTCTTTGGTTTTTCACTTATCTTTATCTATCTGACTCTTTCTTGTGATGTTTAATTTCTCTTAATGGCTTTTTTTTCTTCTCTATTGTAAAATATCTGTTCTTCAGCTGCTGTTAATATCGACCAACTTCTTCTTATGTAAATGCCAACCCACTTCACTTTTCTTCTTGCTTTGAAGACCTGGGAAATCCCTGCAGGAAAAGAGATATTTTCTATTCCTCCCTCTACCTCGAGACTCCTTTTACACCAAAACGTCTTTACATCTGTTTGTGAGAGAGCAAAACATATCATATGGAACTTATTTTTTTGCTGTCACGGCCTCTCTAAACAATCAAAGGCTCGACTGGAGGCCGAAAAAACATTAAAAAAGCACGCCAAGACTTTAGAGTTTCCAAGAAAAAAACTGCTTTATTTCAAACAAAATAAATCATTCCCAAAATGTAAATAATGAAAAGTGGGTTGAAATCCCAACAAAGGATGGAGAAGCTGTAGAGAGAAACATGCAATGGGCCAAACTACAATGAATCTTGAATGAAACCTTCAATGCAAACTAAAATAACAAAACTCAACACTCTTAAACATGCTAGGAGAAAAAGATGCATTTCTGGAAGGAGAAGAAAATTCCCCACAAACAAGTCGTCGGGATGTTAGAGACGTCAGCATGAGTGTGACATCAATAAGGATCCTAACTTGATCCCCAATCTCCTCCAGAGAGTTTGTCCAAGTGTCTTTGAGCAAGACACTGGACCATCACACTTTGAATGTGTGCAACACTAGAGAGAGGGATTCAACAAAAACACATAAATATATAACAATAACAAGTAATACATCGGGCTCTCTCCTCCATGTTGAACAATTTCAAGTGTTCCCAGTGCACAAGTCTTTAGTTTGAGTTCACAGCTGACCAGGGTCTTTCTGTGAGAAGTTTATTTGTTCTTCCCATCTCAGTGTGGTATTTCGCTCTGGCTTCCTCCCACAGTCCATTACCTGTAGTGTCAATGGCTGTTTGTTTCTGTTTGCACCTTTGTCACTTGTGGTTTAGAGGGGTAGAGCCACGGTCAGGGACTCAGGTTGACTTTTGCTTTTCAATTTCATCACAGCTGGAGGGTTCTGGGGTTTGAATCCTGGCTTGGACAGAACACTTCTGTGAGGAGTTTGCGTGTTCTCCCTGTGTGGATCTTCTCTGGGTCTTGGGTGTACAAGGCCTCTCGCCCAATGGATGATGGATGGATGATGGATGGATGATGAATGGATGATGGATGGATGATGGATGGATGGATGGATGATGGATGGATGATGGATGGATGATGGATGGATGATGGATGATGGATGATGGATGGATGGATGGATGATTGATGGATAGATACACAATGCTAGACACAATAACAGAACTGGCATTAATTTCATTGCGTTTAAGAGAGCCTTGTCTTCAACAGGGGAATCCAGACCTTGATGCTCTTAACGTTTGTTTGGGAAATACTAAACTGGTCTCACAGCATCATCTGCTCCTGCAACACCAGCATCGAAGTAAAGTCTGAACGAGAGCAGCCAGTACTGATGCATTACTCATTATTTACAATGGATCACATGCCTTTCACGTGTATTTGAAACTGCACTGATGTCACTAAACTGGGAACATGGCTGAAGTAAAGATACAGTTTACAGGAAGAAAATGTTTTGGGATCGTCAAATAAAATCTGATAAAATAGAGATGTAAATGTTTTAACAGTAAATGTTTTGAGAACAGTGGGTGAAATAGGATCTTTAAACTATTGCGGTTTCTGATTCATAAGGTTCCAGATTTACAGACAGAACGTTCTGTTGCAGCTCAGTCATGTTGTAAAATCTACACACACGTTTTATAGAGACCACAGACAGAGAGAATAGATTTTAAGTGCATTTGAAATAAATGAATTACCTTTACGACATTCAAGTAACTATAAACCTCTGCAGGAACGTCTTGTACGTGATCCACCTTGAGGACACGCAAGAGTTTCCGAGCCCTTGCATCACTTAAGTGGTTTGTGGTGTTTGGACTCTGCCAGCTCTCCTTTGTGAGCAGCAGCTGCGGTTTACCTCTAGGAGAGGTGTTGTGTTTTGTCTTTTAAGGTTGGCCCGCAGACAGAGACGCCTCTCGGCCACTGCTCACTGTAAACATCAGTCACACTGTAATGAATGTGTGATGGCTGCAGAGTCGGAGCAGAGTAAGTGCGCTGACGTCCCCCTTGTGTTCTCGCTGTCCATCAGCCCTCTCCTGTTCCTCACAACCATTTACAGTCATCTCTGTTTGGGACAAAGCTATGGGGAAAATACCAGCAACAGCAACACACTCAAACACACCATAGACTCTTGTTTAGTACGACCACAGATTCCTGCATTTCATTGAATATTTTGCAGCTTTTCCCACTGAAGCCACATCTTTAGTCAGTTTAAAAATCTTTAGCACTTGTTGTAAACATCTTTGTTCGATAGTTTCCACCGCTGCCCGAGGAATGAATCAGAGAGCGACGTACAGAAACTAAAATGTCAACATCGATATTGAAGCCTCAGACTCAGAACTAGAAGCAGACTAGCAATGATGAATATCGATGTGGATCTGCAGCTTTGCTTTCATTTGTGTTTTGATGTTGTTTATTAGTTGCAGTCATCACTGGTTTTATTATAGTATTTGGGGAAGTGTGCAAAAATTCTTGGCACAAATCTGACGGTGCACCGGCACACAGACGCTGGAGCGAATTAAACCACACATGAAATGAAGTATGGGCTCCATTAATCTGGAGCTGGAGATCCCTCTGCTTCAGATATACTAAGGTCAAGAGAAGAAATTAGCAAAAGAGAAAAAGAAAAGATTTAAATGTTTGATCAAAACTATATATTTAAAGGTCCAGTGTGTAAGATTTAAGTGAAAGGGAACTATTGGGAGAAATTTAATGTAGAATAATCCTCATGATGTTTTCACTAGTTCATTGTAGTTTTCTTTACCCCAGAAAAGGTCCTTTATATTCAAATACTTTATATTTACATCGAGGGGACCCTCTCTACGGAGGCCGCCATGTTTTTTACATTAGTCCAGACTGGACAAACTAAACACCTTTTGAGTTTTTATGAAAACGTAAGGCTACAACAGTTTCTTTTTTATGTTTGGAGGGAGAGGGTGAGGTGAGATATCACAAAAATAGAAATAAATAAAGAGAAATAAAAAACATGCAAGTTTTAAGACGTACATTGTCTGATATTGTGACAAACACATGAGCAAAACAAAAAGTAACTCAAATCTCAATAATAAAATGCTGATGGTAACAGGTTGTCAACTTTAATCAAACTCTTTGGATACAGACAGAACGAGAGGAGCAGTAGAAACTGTGGCACTTGACCCAAACCCACATGTCTCAGTCTCAGTGTGTTCACACATGACTCATGTCGGGTGAGAAGAGTCTGGAGAAGCCTCCTGTGTCTCTATCTTTACTCACTGGGCTCTCCACTGACCTCCTGACAAGCTGGAATCAACATTACGCAGAGCTGCGATGACGCCACCCACGCTGTCAGATAAGACATGAAGTAAAAACTGTAAGACAGGAAACATCTATGTTCCCTTTTCTCTGTCACTCTCCTTCCATCCATCCTGTCCGGCTGCTGCTGGGTGGTTCGGTGGAGACACCCCTCCCCTCTGCGCGCAAACAGCCTCCGTGTGGTTCCTTACCGGAAAGCCAAGGGGTTGAGTCTTCCAGAGAAGAAACCCCCGCTGGCATCTTATCCACTGTTGCATGGGGGTGAAGAGGAAATGCACTTCCCAGTCCTCGCAGACCAGAGGACACATCGCTGACAAGCGCGAGCCTTTGGATGCTTGCGGCGATGGAGAGCGCGGACTTTACGCACGGACCTCTCTCCGGTAGCGAGACGCCGGCTCAGCAGTCACAAGCGGCCACTGTCAAGACATCGATCGCTTTGCCTATTTTCATGTTTGCCGGAGGCGCCATTGGGAATTTAATCGCAATAATCGTCCTGTCAGTGTCGAGACAGGAGAAGAAGTCCTCCGCCTTCTACACGCTGCTGTGCGGTCTGGCGGTGACGGACCTGCTGGGCACCTGCCTGGCCAGCCCGCTCACCATCGCCAACTACCTGGACAAGCATGTGTTTGAGCACCAGCACGTCTGCGAGTTTCACTCCTTCCTGCTGCTGTTCTTCAGTTTGACAGGACTCAGCATCATCTGCGCCATGGCGGCGGAGCGGTACCTGGCCATCTGTTGCCCCTACACCTACCAGCGCTGGGGGGTGGACAGACGCTTTGCGCAGAGGTTCCTCTTCTTCATCTACATCAGTCACATCTTCTTCTGCTGCCTCCCGATGATGGGCCTGGCGCGGAGCAGGCTGCAGTCCTCCACCACCTGGTGCTTCATCAACTGGAGGACGGGCGAACCGGTGGCCTACTCCATCCTGTACGGCGTGGTGAGCCTGCTGCTCATCCTGGGCACCATCGTGCTGAACCTGGCGGTGTGCGGGTCGCTGCTGCTGATGCGCCAGAGGACCGTGCAGCGGTTCGTCTCCAGAGCCAGCATCCGGCAGAGGTGGAAGGCTCTGTCTTCGGCCGCAGAGACGCAGATGATGGCGGTGCTGGTGATGACCTCTGCGGTGGTTCTGGCCTGTTCAGTTCCGCTAGTGGTGAGTCAGTCAATTAATTAATTAGTCTGCACTGATTGTGGTGTTTGTTGCCTATTTATCGTGAATTTACTTCCCACCACAGACCAATATTTGTATTAACCTGTCGCCAACATACTGTTATCATAGCAGCCTATGTTATAAAATGACAAACACGAGAAAGACGGCATGAAACTAAAGTAGAACTTGTATTTTAGTAGATTTTCTTGACACTGTGTATGTGTGATATCAGAGTTTTGACCTATAGTTACAACATCTTTTTCTTATACACCCTCATAGTGTTAGGGCAGGGATTTACAAAGTCATTACATGAATGTGAAAGTGGTTTTAAATGTGTGGGTGAGGGGCCATGATAAGAGAAATCTGAGGGGTCACGAGAGGATTTGAGAGACAGGAGAAAATGGAAAAAACTATTTCTCCTCAAGCAAATTATTGTGTTCTGTCTATTAATCCCTTCAACCCCCCTGATGATTACTTGGTAGATTTGTCTTTTCAACTATTCAAGGTAATATTTCAGAATTGAATCATGTTTTTAACACAATCATAGTCATTCAAGCTTTAAGAGGGATCACATGTAGTTCCTTAAACATCGAGTTGATTGATACAGAATGAATCAGCAGCTATTTTTATATTTGTGAAATTTAAAAAAGGCTATTCTGGTCTCAGGTTCTGAGATGTGATGATTTGTGAAATATATATATGACAGTGAACTTAGAAAATCTTCAGTTGGTCAACCTGATGGTCAGAAAGTCATTCGTCTGCAGGCTTTTTAGGCTTTAGGGCAATTCTGTTGTATTTTTCAGTTTAATTTTGGTATAAAATAAAACATCAAGCAACTAATTAATCGAGATGTTTTGTAATAAAAAAAGGCCCCAGTTAATATAGTTCTTTATCAGTTTAAGGGCTGATCCAGGGGGCAAGGGGAAATTGGCCCCTGAAGGGCCCCTGTCCTGTCAGTTTAAAAATGTTACTCAAGGAGTGACTTAACTGCACCTTATTGAATCTGGAATTGCTCATGGATGTCAGACATACATGTATATTGGCCCCCCCTGTGTAAATGATGCCCCCTAATGGCCCTCATCTAGAAAAATCCAAGATCCGCCAGTGAATTCTTCACATTAAGTTTAGGAATGATCATCTATGTTGTATTTTAATTGGGAAACCAAATACAATAAAACAAAAGGACAATATTCTGTTTGTATCTGACCATATTATTTACACCGTGAAGTTCTGAGCTGTAACTTGTTTTTTTCCTTCAGGTCCGTGTGTTCGCAAACCACTTCATGCTGAAAGAAGACCCTGAAGCTGACCTGGCGGCCATCAGGATCGCATCTGTCAACCCCATCCTGGACCCCTGGATCTACATCCTCCTCAGACGGTCTCTGTTGCGACGGTTGCTCACGTTATCCAGACGAGGCAGCAGCCCTCGCAACAGCGCCTCTCCGCCGCCACAGAGGAATCCTTTTTATCCTGATATCATGAGGGACAGCCACGTGTTCACCCAGCTGATGTGCAGCACAAGCATCATCACTCAGCTCCCCGCTACTGTCAAGTTCACTCCGTACGACACGGAGAGCCTCCAACAGACTTCAAACACGGCAGACTGAGGACTCGTCCAACATCTGTGAATGTTTGCTGCTCAATGCGGCGACTCGGGTTCAGAGCTGTCACGTGTGAGATGGAAACACAGTGACAACTTTGTGGCTCACAGCTGGACGAGGCCCCTCAGAGCTCCTGTTGGATTATTTATTCGACAGAAACAGAGGCCGGCGCTGACTTCATCTCTGTAGACTCCTGCAGAGACTCGGGACTGATGAGAAAAACTCGGCTGTTAGTGCATCAACAAGACAAGACTGAGCCTTTATTTTCTAACTTTGACTTCTCATCCATTCTCTCCTCGTTCTACAGCTGCAGGTAGATGGACAGCTCATCTCTGGGGCCAGTTCTCATGTGGCCTGTGACTCTTTGAAGGTCAAGAGTTAAAGGACACGTGTTCACACATCAGTGCACGAGCATGGTAAGAGTCTGTGTTGACCAGACACTGAGTGAGACCCATCACAGGTGTTTTTATGAGACGTGAAACTCCTCAGGACAAACACTGATATGAGCTGAGTAAAGACTTGACTGTTTGATGCTGACGTCTGTTTGCAGTAAAGATTCTTGTTTGCAATAAAACTGAGGCTGAGTTTGTCTTAATCTCTTTCATTTATTGACCACAACCCACTGTGATCTAGTCCCAGTTGAGGTTTATCAATTATTCTCTTCAGGACATTTTGAACACTATTTGAAATCAAATCTAAATTTACATTTTTCAACAGTTTTCTTTATGAACACATTTACTAAATCCAAGTTTTATGTTTGGATCCACACCAGTTTCAAACATTCCAAAATTTCATCCAGATCAAAGATTATTTTCTGAGAAATCAACAAAAATGTTGAAAAAACTGCATCTTGCAGATACATTTTTTTTTCCCTAAACCAAATCTGCAAGAAAACGTTATATTTTTCCCTGACTCATACCACAGCCTTCTAACTAACTGGTGATCCATCCTGTTTTTGTGTCATACTGTTGAGTAACATACAAAACAAACATTTGGTAAACACCAGAGTGGCTGTGGTGCAAGAGGTCAGAGCCATTTTGGAGGGTGACAACATAATGGTAAGTTACCAGTATGATGTCTGAGTTACCATGTCAGTCACTGACATCTCTGACAACTGGATTAAATCAAAGGGCGTAATGCTCTTTGCATCTCCTTCAATTCCAGAGAAAAACATCTTGTCACACCCTCCGCCTCCTTCAATTCCGGAGAACTAATCTGGGCTTGTTCTTGTAAAATGCTCGACTACTTTCATAAAACACTATAAATGAATTAAAGCCACTCTGAATGAAGATAGGCGACTGTATAGTGCTTTATTCAGTGACCAATAGTCATATTTAAATATTTAATCAATTTAGAATCTAAAGGGTCACCAGATAAGTGAGGGGTCGTCAGTGAGGGAGTCTGATGATGATGATGACCCCTTCACTGGGAACCACTGGGATAAACCACCAGCCTGAATTAAAGTAAACTAACTAATGTGACAGTTATAATTATATTAAACTCTTTAAACTGTGGGTTTACAGGTGGAACTCATTGACTGAAATGCATTGAGTTTTTAATTGACCTGCTATCAGATGCAGATAGATGTTAAGAGTTTAGCTTAAGTGTCATCTGGACTTATAACACCTACAGAAAGAATTACTGTTTGTATTTTGTGTGGCTAGAAGAGACTTGTTGTAATGGAAACTGCGCACAGTGATTGCGAGACAGAGTCTTGGCTCACAAATCCACTGTCTACACCAGAAGCCTCAAAATATTGGCAGTCGCTCTCGGAGATTAATTCATCATCAGAAGACAACCAATGGGCTCCGAGATTGTAATCATAGAAATATTTGGTCTTTTAAAATATCAGTCCCATTTACTTGAAATTCCTTTGTGCTTTTACTTATACTAACTATTAAAGAGCCATTAAAACATTCAGTATTCCATGATGCATTTATTCCCCCCCCACATTTAAAAATAGCAATTACTAAACATAAGCAGACGAGACTGTGCAGAGCTGCACTTCTGTACAACATGTTCATACCATGACACCATAAATAAAAATCTATAAACATTGGTTAAGAAAAAAGTTCTCGCTCAAGATCCATTAAAGACGCACAAAATAATAATTATACAACTTTTACAAAGTGTCTTCCTCTTTGTCCACTCGTCTACATTTACATCCCAGTCAGAGGCTTTACAGCAGAGAGCCGGCGTCCAAATCAAGAGTTCACTCACTGTGCAGAATCAAAGGAAGGAAATAGAGGAAATTTATAAACTACAACAGGTCTCCCACATGTTGAAGTTTCTAAATTTGACATCTTGTCGACATGTGAACGGAGCGTCCGCGCTGCAGTGCATCAGCAGCAGAAGTGACACGAGGAGGGACATGAACAAAACAAATGCAAGAGACTAAAACATGAGCTGCAGCAGCGACAAAAGGTCCAAATTCTGTTTGTACCATAATTCCTTTCTGTCAATGCATCCAAATGACCACTGGCTTCAGTTGCTGCTTCATTCAAAGCACAACATGTTGATGCAGATGACACATAAACATTACATTCCTACAACAGGAAATCATAGCTGTCATTTAACTGGATGTTGTCTGTCAAAGTACGAAAGATATCTGATGTCTTCAAACTATTCAGCAAGAAATATGCAGATTTTTGCTGAATCAACACAATCATTTAAAATTCGGACAGATTATGTTTTGTCCAGGAGAACATGATATGTCACATTTCACCTGACGAAAGTCGTTGCTAAGGAGATGAGGTAGGAGACTCATCATAACACGTATCTGTACTGAGAGGTCTTGATTACTGGTCAATTTGAGTTAATGCAACACCATTTAACTTCAACTGAGCAACAGCGCCCTCTGCAGCCACGTGTGGTGATTAGAGAGAAAACCAAAGCCTGTGAATCTCTTGACTGCGTAGTGTCTCTTACTGAACTTAAACACAATGGTGGATACTACCCATGATTCGCGGCTTCCTGAACCAGAAGAGCCGCTGCTGTAAAAAATATTCAAAACTATTCAGGAATCCTTAAAGTTTAGGTTTCCTCAGTGCATATAGCAGGAAAATGCTGGTTTGTAATGATTTCTAAGTCTTTTTAATGAATCGACAGTTCAGCTAGGCTCTGATTCTGACAGTTGAAGTTGAACTGAAATGACAGATTTCTCTTTCAACTCTGTTTCAGTTCTCAACAACTCGTCAGCTGCTGAACGCTCAGCTCTGTAAATTTGTCTGTTGTTTCAAGGATATTTCTGCTCATAAGTTTAAACACAAAGAGCAACAGCAGCAGCCAGGACATTAAACAGAGTAATTTATCATTGTGTCAGGGCTGTGTAAAACTCACATTACACCACTCAGGTGTTTGCACTTTTCTGTCAGTCAGTGTAAAACAGCCAACTTCACTATTTCAGGAGCTGACATTTGGTTTTCTATCTAAGCATTTTAGATTAGACTCCCTTCTGGAGAAAACCACAGCAGCTTTATTATCCCAACAACCTAAAAACAGCATCAGCAGTTACAGTTAATTTCCCCCCGTGAATCTAAAATAAATTTAAATGTCCAGAGAGGCCCTGAACACACAACTCCCAGAGAGATCTGTGAAGGATAAGGATCAGTTTGGGACTAAATACTGTGACAGTGTTTTGAAACTATCGGAAAAGGCAAACACAGTAAACTTTAACCAAAAAAAGCCATATTAATAAAATATAACTGCACTATGAATTAGGGGTTAAAAAAACAAGCTCCCTGGCTACAAATGGCACTTAAAAAACAATGTGTTGTTTCTAAATCTATACAACGCTGATTTCAAAGTTAAGTTACAGAGGAGAAAATAAAACCATTATATTGCTGCAGTGAGACGCTCAGAGTGCACCAGAGACAACAGAAGAAATCATGCTTGGAGAAAAACAAGAGATTCCTATATTAAATAGTTTAAGCAGTTAGAAAAAGGCCTTTTAAAAATAATTGCTCATCAATAATGATAATCAAGCATCAGGTCCACCTGAAATTACAGCTGAATCTTTAATTAAATGTCCAGAGCAAACCTCTGAGTTCATGCACATTTCATAAATCTAAGTCTGTTGCTTTACGTTAAACAGCGAGGTTGTGAAGTAACATCACACATGTGGTTGTTTCTTGATGTGTAAATTTGACACGAACCTCTGTTAATAGAAAAACAATCATGATAGAGCAGCTTTGGTTCAGGCTGAAAAAATATATATATATAAATCGCCTGACAGGAGGAAAAAATGTCAAGGCTTGAGAAGCTTCGCAGATCAATAAATAGTAATGATCAATTGAATAAACACTATGCGTTGTTTTAAATCGTCATTTTTACATCCTTTACATCCGAAATGGTTCTACTCCTAAGAAAGATGAATCACGAGGGTTCTACAGTATGCATATTAGGATGCTTTGTTTTGAGCAATCAAATATTAATCTAACCTTTTACATTAATGGTCCATGACAACAAACATTTAGATCCTTGCTTGCATGAAGGAAACATCTGTGTGAGGCCACCGACTGAGCAATAGAAACTGTCTCACTGCAGAAACATTTGTCTCAATTCAAAGACATGGACAAAGCATGTTGGGGTATGACAAAATGCTAAAAACAATTATCACAATAAAATCCCCATCAATAGCAATATAACAAAAGTCCAGTATATATATATATATATATATATATATATATATATATATGTATATATGCTCAATGCTCATGCATTGTTCAAAGCAAAGCGAAAAGTATTTGATTAACATCAGATTTATAAAATGTTTCGCTGTTAATCCAGTGCTTGTCATTCTCTGCTCATAAAGTAGTTAAAAAAAACTTTCTCTCACTTCTTTAAACTTAAAGACGGTGAAATTATCGTGATAATTATCGATATGTTTTGATATGAAAGTTTTTATCTTGATGTAATTTGTGGCCATATCGTCCAGCCCTTGTGTTTTGTTTTGTAAATCCATTTCACAAACTTAGGTGTTCAACAGTGGCCGTCACAACATCTGCTGCCTGAGTGACAAGTTTAAAATGACCTTTTTTTTGGGGGGGAAATTTGGGCGTTTTTCCTCATCAGGTATTTTTGTACCACTGTGTTAAGCAAGAGCAGATCTTGTTTTACAGCTCAGTAAGTTTCTCAGCAATTTCTAATCAGCACTAATAAAGGTCGAGAGCAGGCTGACGGGAATGTCATTAGTTTTCAGGATTTTTAATCATTAATAAACCAAAGCATGAAACAAATTAAAAATTTTAACTGACGGCAGCGACAAGACAAGTCAGAAGAACATCAAAGTGAGTGGGATTCATCCTCTGAGGATCAAGAATTCAAAATTCACCAGAAACTCGTCTAATAGTTACCAAGGAGATTATGTGTTCGTCTGCATGTGTTTGTCTGGTAGTAACACGGAAGACACAACAAAGTACTGGACGGATTTCCAAGAAAACTTGGTGGTGTAGTACGAAAGAAGGAGAAGTAAATTTTGATGCAGATCCAGGAATATTTTTCACGTTTTTTCTGAAGAAATAATGGATCTTGATAAAAACATCAGGCATATTTATGGAACTTATATTTACAGGTGTGTGCAATTTGGTGCTGCTTGACTGAATCTAAGGGTACTAGTGGGTCTTGGTGGAGGTATGCGTAATTGTTGAGTTATTTCAGTCTAAGCCAAAGCACTAAACTGACATTGCATCCAACTTTTTCTTTTTTTTTTTAAATCCTCCACAGTCCACAAACAAATCCCACCTGCCTCAGAAGACTTTGGACTCAGCAAATAATTGGTTTCTCCTCACATCATGACAAATGCCTCATGAAGAAAAAGGACAATCATTAACATGAAATACCTAAAAATCAGAAATGCTAAGGCAGTTCACTGAATTGTGATCCACTGAAATATGGGTGCATGTTCAGAGTTAATAATTACAGCTGACATCTCTTCCTCTAATAAAAAACAAACACTGTATGGCTGTTTTTGAAAAACAAAACTCAAACATTTCCAAACAGTGAGGTGTAAATCCCTGATCAACCACCTGGATTCTTTTTAACCTAAATGTCTGAAAATTAAAGATACAAGTTTTGTTCTTTCTCAACCTATCCCATACAGTGAGAACTAAAAAATAAACAGACAGTGACAAAATGAAGCTGTCGGAAAGTGAAGTTTAGACAGGGAGGAGCATGGGAGAGGTCAGGTCACTGGGCAATCAACACCAACTCTTTCCTCCTCGTTCAGAACAAATGGCACTTGCCTTCACTTTCAAGTGTGAAGTGGGGCAGAGATGACCCGCTGCAGCGGTGGGGGTGGGGCCGGCTATACAGAGTGATGTCTATGACAGCGACCCGGGGCGAGCACAGACTCCTGCGTTACACCACGTACTGCTGGTTGCTGCTGTGGTTTGTCGTGTAGGTCTGTCGGCTGTACTGAAAGTGGTCGGTCAGCACGTTGTTCCAGTTGTGCTGCTGCTGCTGTTCTGAGCCGTGGGAGAAAGGCACTGAACCGTTGGCCTGGATCTTTTCCAGCGCTGGGTTGTCAAAGGACGTCAGGTCCTGCTTGGAGCTTGGCAGCAGCTTCTTCTGCTTGTTTGCGTCATACTTGGCCTGTTAGCAGAGGAGAAGGGAAATTTGATTTTGATAACTATGTCTTAGTAGTTGGTCTCCGGCAGTGCACTGAGGCTGCCAACCAATTAGCTTGGCCGGGTCAAACACAAGAGGATAAATTATGTGCACCTAAACTTCAGTATTTACTGAGTGAATAACAATGAGAGACATGTTTAGGCCTATTAACTCAACATCACAAACTTTCAAGGTTTTCAGGGACTTGTGGGAATCCTGGTCAGGGAAGACTCACCTTATTGTAGAGGAAGACCCCAACTATGGCCGTCATCATGCCCAAGATGTTAGTGAGGCTGACGGGGTTGCGCAACATTAGCAGTGATATGCTGATGACCATGATCCTCTTGGTGGCGTTGGCGACTGCGTAGCTGAGCGGGCTGACGAGGTTGAGCACGCTAAAGGCGATAACGTTCTGGGCGAAGTTGCAGAAGCCACTAATGAGGAGGAGGACAAAGGTACCACTCCATCCTGAGATGTCTGACTGAGGCAAGAAAAAACATAACATGGTGATGTTTTTTAGGTCACTTTTTGATTCAAACTAATGCTGTGCATATTGGCAAAATATAAACACAGATACCATCAGGTGTGTTAAAGGCTCTACTTCCGAAGTATTTATTGTGGTTAGTAAATTCTGTCATCATACCACATTTAAGATCAAGATGATACAGATGTCAGATCCATTGAGGAGCAGTTACTGCAACTCACCAGGTCTCCGTTCACAAGAAACACAGAGAGATCCACCAGAACCCAGGTGGGCAGCATGAAGATCACGGCATTAAAGCCCAGGATGTTGAGAAGCCTCAGGTGGTGGACCCGTGTGTCGCGCAGCACCTAAGAAAAAACGGTTGAGTCACACAAAGATTATGTAATGTCTTGGGTCTTTCCTTGTTAACACAGCCACTTCTCCTTTCTCACAGCGTTTCAAACACTTCCACACGCGCAGCACAACAGGATATCAGTTTCACACCAACAAGAAGTGACATTTCAATTAGCCTCCTCCCTGCAGGGATCATGTGGCACATACCAGCAGGAGGATGGTTTACCTTTTTGGAGAAGATGTTCTGCAGAGAGAAGCAGAGCGTGGCAGCCAGAGCACTGATTAATCCTGAAACATGAAACGACATCTCCGTCGCCGTGGCCAGCAGCACTCCACCAATGATGGGGATGAGTGATGTGTACACCTGCAACAATGAGCACAGGGAGCGAGAGGGCAGAGTCAGCAAGGAAAGAAAGAAAGACAAACATTACTTCATTCATTTATTCAGGGAACTACAATTTTATCTGCAATCCCAACCTGTAATCCAGGACCTAAAGTCATTATATTAATCCACAATTGACACAAAAATATAAAGCCAACTATCTTCATTTGCTTGTGTTTGTTAGTTTAAAAGTGACTATATGCACGTTTCTGCTATGCTACCAACATTAGTATCAACCTTCACTGAAACGCTGAGAGTTCTGCATCAAACTTTTAGCGCCAAGAGTTGTCTCCAGGGTTGGAAAACAACGACAGTGTTCTTATGCTTCGTTCTATTACCTTCTATCATTTCTCTGCCTCTACTGAAATTAGCATGCTAACAAGCTAGCCCTGTCTCAGCACTTTCCAATATCAAGACACTGTAGGGCCCCTTCCTCCCTGAAGGCTATCCCTAGTGTGATAAACAGGTTTGGTGATGGTCATTCAGGATGCAGTACAAGGAAGCAGCACAGCTTCAGGTAATAACTATTCAAACATGACTCAGGTCGGAAAGTTAACGGCATAATCATAAATCAACAAATATAGCGTGTTTGATTTATCCTTCAAATGCCATGCTTGTTCTTTAACCACTACTACAGTAACTAGAATGTGCTCCTTCCTTTTTGTGTTGTTTCTATTTTGGCAGAGGCCTAGATGTCTGACCCATTTCAGGTGCCCTGAATCATTGTGAAGATTTATCCTGAAGGGTTTCTGCACTCAAAATGAAAAGTTGCAGGAATGTTACGATTAAGTCACATCATAGCGCTTGTAAGATACAAACCCAGGTTATATTTTATTACAGAAATCCATTACAGTCTATTATATTCCAATTGTTATTCTATGAAACCTGTAATGTTCAGTTATTGTTCAAGATATGTTTAAAATTTGATTATTTATTGGCATTGAAGTCATAAAAGCAGTGTTGTCCTGGACTACGTTATATTAGAGCAGCAACAAGTCATCAAATAATCAACTAGAAAATGACTGAAACTGGTTGGATAACCGATTAATTGTTTTTAAAGATTTTTTTCAAGCAAAATGTCAGAATTTGTTGGTTTTTATCTTATTTATCAGATTACATTTTAACATCTTATGGTGCAGAACAGTTGGTTGAAAATCAAGATGACAACATCACTGTGAGCTCAAATTGCAAAAAGCATTATTTGATATTTAATATACCGTACTAAATGATTCAACCAGAAAACAGATGAATTAATAATGCAAATACTCACTTACAGCCCTACATCAAACTGAGGTGGTAAAATTGCATTTACTCATTTTTTTTGAAAGCTACATACAACTGTTTCTAATTTCTTGCCTCCTTAGTTTACATAGGAAGGACAAAAACTACCACTATGTACGACCACAACAATACACATATAATCTGATTTACCACAACACAAACATCAGCTTCTCACACATTGGGACAGGGATGTTGTATTAAACTGCATTAAGTTATAAAGGTGGTAATTTCAGTCTTTTGCTAATAAAGTTAAGTCAAGTATTTATTTGGTCTCCAAACATTTTGATTCACTGCTGAAGGAAAGATACAGGTGTCACTGATAAGATTTACAATTGTCCCAGTAAGAAATGATTAAGCGAGCCAGTAAAATACCAGGAAAGCTGACAGCTTTCTTTTTATTATTGACATCTTTGCTTTATCTACTGTAACGTATCAAAATATCTGCAGAGAAAAGGCCTGTGAGACGGTCTAATGCTTTTCATACAACTTAAGGTTTCTCAGTACAGTAAAGTACAGTGTGGCCTGCTCCTCCTCAAACAGGATCTCAGTAATATATTATCAAAGCCTACATTCCCTGTCTGTGGCCGGTCTGAATACTCAGCTGCTGGCTGCAAAGTAAACATGACAAGCTGATGTTAAACTGGAGAAATCTCCTGCTCCCACTGCTTCAAATCCTGGTTCTTTAATAGTAAGTACAAGCAGACACTGAATTCTGGTCTGAATTTCTCTAATATAATAAATACAGCTGCAAAGTGAATATTATGAAAGACAATTATATTATTAGTTTGTAAAATGAATATGATTTAATAGTCGGATACAGCAGCTGTGCTTGAAGAAAACAGTCTTGACAGTTTCCTATAGTAAGTTATTTTGTTTGGTTTATAAGTTGTTTTCTATCATTTCTATGGAAGGAGTGTCAGGGCTCATTTAGACTATGTCAGATTTGACTTTGTATATTCAGTTAAGCAATACTTTTAGCAAGCCCTGGAAGTTGTGATGGACATTTATCACTATTTTCTCCATTATATAGACGAAACAATGAAATTAATTTACATCAGAAATATCCATTACTCGCACCATTTGACAAATTATAGTGAAGTTTTGTTTTATCATAGAAACAATCAGCCTGATGCAGTTCTGACAAAGACTTACAGTGACAATCACTTCAGGATGAACTTAAAGCAACACAACTTATTGTACCTTAAAATGGCAACTTCTAATGAAACTTTGGTGATCAGGTTCGATCTCCTGTGAGAAGTGTGTAACTGACCAACAGTCGCAGTTTAAACTTCCAAAAATAAGATCCAGCAAGTTCAAGAGTGATGCTGAACTGTAGATCAGTTGAAAAAACTTAGAAGTCATTAAAACCCACAGTTTATTCAGTGAGGAATAATAAACACATTGGTTCATTTGTCATCGCTGCAGCTCTTCTGATTAAGTAAGCTGGGGATCATGGGTAATATCCACCATTCAGTTGTGTTTCAATTCAGTGAGGGGTACTACAAAGTCAGAGCTTTGGTCAAGACATTGATAGGCTTTGTTCTTTCTCTTCATGAAATTCACTTAGACGTGAAGGTGAACAGAATGAATCACCACATGCGGCCGCAGAGGGCGCAGGAAAAGTTTCAAGTTACTATCACTTCACTTCAAGTTGATTTGCTAGTTCATCTAAAATAAATCCCTCCCACGTTTTTTTATTAAAGCTGACAAGTTTTAATTAAAGTATTTTACAACCATGGCATTATGCTTCCTGTAATCCACACATAACTCTGCCATCTGGTCACTGCACACCCGCATACCAAGCATGAAAGAATGTGTATAAACTCTATTGGCTCCTAATATTTAAAGTAGTTTGGGGAATTACCAGGTGACTGTGGCCGATTTGTGGAAATTAGAATTAGTCTCCCATCCCTCACCTCCACCCTCCCACTGAGCACCTGATCATAGTCGGGGACAAAAGCCCCTGCTGATAGCTGTAACATGAGATGCAGCACAGGCGCAGTACAGTGCCACATCACCACTGCTGCGTCTCTAACACTTGAGGAACAGGCTGGGATAGAGTGGGCCTTGTGTCTTGTTTGCTGTATCAAACCTACTCACCTTTGTGGTTTGCTTCTCTCTCATGATAATTCTTGATAACAGCACAACCCATATTGGCATTGTGGCTTTGACTGTGAAAGAAAAACACAAACAGGAAAGAGACGTCAGCAACAACGAGAACTAACAGTAACAAGTAAAGCTTAAAAGACTGACATTTGTACTATAAATGCTCTGGTGTTCTATGCAGACCCACGCCCCTGTCAAACACTAAACTTGTGTCCTCTGTTATATTGCACCATGCATTCACTGACTGATGTACTATTACAGCGAGTTTACTCTGGTGTGTCACCAACAATGACAGACTTAGTCATGACAGCCCAGTTTTGTTTTCAAATGATGGACACATTTTATAAGGATTAAATAGAAAACACAGTGAATTAAGTTCTGATTTACTGCAGGGCTGTTGTATTACACTGGCAACTGCAGACTGGTGGTTAATGACAGAACAAAATTCAGAATTAATTGACAAGGAAGCAAAGGCTCTTTAAAATGGGTCCAAAGATCACAAACGATCCTTAATGCGCTGCGGTGGAAGTCAGACACGATTTGAAATGAAAATAGAGTCTTTCTGAAATGAACTCTACAATATGTGGAGAAAAAATGGTCTGGACATTTTCTGGAGTTTGTCTTTAAGATATAAGAGGGGGTTCAGGTGAGGGATGGAGCCTGGAACAGAGCATTCAGCTACAAGGAAATCAGTATTTCATTGACAGCACATCTACAGTGGCGAATTATCACTTATGTAAAGCAGTTTAACAACAGACCTGCAGCAAGACCCACGTTCATGTTGTTTGATGAAAGCTTTTCAGAAGTTGTGATTCAAGCTCACGGTCATTTTCCAGGGTGTAATTTGTGGTGCTGTTGAGCCGTACTGCTGTATACTGAGACGTGTGTCTTACATTCAATCAACCCTTATTGATATAAATAGGGTGAATTACATTTTTAGAAAGCTCGCCACAAACTGGGGCCTCCAACCAAGACCATACCTCTGAGTGAGCTCCTGTGTGAGACTAACACTGCCATTTTATGTATGAAAATGTATTATTATTATGTAATATATGATATTAACCTGCAACAAACGATTATTTACATTATTAATGTCCAGATTTTCGAAAGAAAATTGTGAAATTATGCCGTTTCAAGTTTTACCAAGCCCTCATTTTTTAACTAGATTGTCTTTAAAAAACAGTTTACTGTCAACTGACAAAGAAAAGTAGCAGATAATCACATATTCTGTGTATTACACACTGTAAGTATTGTATATATTGATACTAATACTTCTGCACTTGTAAATATGTACATTTTAGTACATATATGTATATGTGTATGCGTGCACATACTAACATAACACCTACAGTATGTATAAAACATATATAACTTATACATTACTCATTTAATAGTCGCACTCTTCTTTTTTAAAACACACTCGCATGTACATGATTGTGTTTTTAATTTGAACTTTATTCTAACCCACTGGTTTAAGCACATTATATTCATAAAGTTAATTTATCTTTTGCAGCTTTGTTGAGGATCTGCCTGCACAGTTTAAGACACCGTCTGTGAAAATAGTGAGTCAAAGGGGTAAAGGCAAATTGATTGTAAACGCGAACAGACTTAGTTCATGAAGCTAAACTTCACTGTTTTGTTGTTAAAGTAAAAGATACATTTGAGCTCAAGCGTCGTGAGAAGACTGAATCAGATCATTCAGGTGCATCTCTGAAACTTCTCTCATGTGGGAGCTGCAGCTTGTGAGAGGTCTGGTTAACTCAATGGCTCAGCAGGTTGTATGAGAACATGAAGGAGCGGACTGAAGTGAGTTGGTCTCAGATGAGAGTTGGAGGAACACAGAGCACCGTCAGTCCGGGACCCTCCCCCCTCTCCTCCTGCCAGCGTTAACTACGTTAGCTAGCTAGCTAGCTCACAGCCGCCGCCGCTCCGCCACTCTCCAGGGCTCGATACGAGGGGTAAATGTGGCGTTAGGAGGCCGGTGCTGGGTTGACTAGTCTGCCTGTTCACGACCTTCACAGCACCGACAGTTTCCGGGGCCCACAAGCGGGCTAACTGCCGGTGCCGCCGAGTTGTCCCCGGCGTTAGCCGCGAAGCTAACATCAGCTGACGACGGACACATCGAGTTACCGCGGAGGAGCCGGGTGGCCTCACGTTTACCCAGAAACAAGAACATTCATCTGCTTTACTCACCCGTGTGTGCGTATGAAACCGGTACTTTCCATATGCTGAAGTGCGCCGACACTGATGCGAAGTATTTCCCGAAAGCTAAAGGCAAGATGTACCACCGGTAGTACCTGCTCGGCAGTTCTGTTTTGGGGACTCCCCATGCCCGCAAGAGCGGAGGGAGGAAGACGACGATGGAGATGATGTGGAACAGAGACACGGTGACCGGGTACGGGAACCCGTTCAGGATGATTTTGTTGATGACATTGCCCCCCGAGCTGACCGTGTACCAGCACGCACACAGAGAAACTATCCGGATCCCTTCCCTGACCGGGGTCCGCTCCACCGCAGCCATCTTCCAGCGCGGAGTGACGAGGCACCGGCCGAGAGCGAGCGTCTGCACCGGGAAGAGAAACGCTGCTCGGCGTCAAGCTGCCGTCAGTGCACCCACAACCGGATGTGACACAGTTTCTGGCCACAGCCTTCAAGATAATACAAAGTGACAAACGTGTTTGTAAAAGTAAAAGTCTAAATAAAACAAACAGCGTTCATCAACATGTTATAAATAATCGTACACCGAAGAAAGGTAGGAAGTGTAAACATTTTTTTATTTAAAAAAATTCACTTTCATAAGTACATTTTTCAAAAAAAACAATAAAAACATTCTAATTTTCAAAATATAAATATAATAATAATATAAAGAACAGTAAAAACGACAAATAAACGCCAAAAAGTCTCTCTCCCATTCGTCAATGACAACATTCAGTTATACATCATTGTCATTATCAGCTTTCTTATTTCCTCCTCTTTTCCTTCTTTTTTCACTTCCAGGTAGATAACTCTTCTTCTTCTATTCAAACTCTGAGAATGATACACAACTGTAACTCTGACGGCAACAACGCGGGGCCCCTACAGGGAGGTTTTTACTACGGAGATGACATTGTGAATACTCCATCTGTTGTGAAGTGAAGTTTGTCAGCCCTCGGGGGGGCCCCTTCAAGGCCTAGGGCCCCAAGCAGTTTCCTGCTTTCACAAGTGGCTCCTCTGCCCATACCAGGCTGGAGTGGCTATGAAATAACATTACAAACCACTAAATCAAGATTTTTTTTTTATTTACATCTGAACCAAATTGCACACATTCATAAATATCAGTCCCCTAAACATGCCAGATTTTTTTCCCATCAAGATCCATTCATGACTCTTTGAGTAATCGGGAAAATAAAGAAAAAACTGCCCTTTCTTGAAATGTTGTTTGTATGTTTCACACCAAAATGTATGGGGTTCTTTCCTAACCCACACCATATCCAATCCGTCTGGTTGTTTTCGCATAATGCTGCTGCAAAGTAACAGAAACAACCGCTGACAAAATCATAACCTCTCAGCGGAACTAACAAATAAGTCATTTTTCTGTAAAAGATATATCAAAAATTTGTAATGTTGTTTTCAAAAGTTGGGTATCTCTGAATTAATCAAAATCCAGCTTAGAGCAATGTGTAATAACCCTGCACTGTGAAAACACATTTGTCCGTAAGATTCATACAAATACATTTTATAAACCAGTAAAAAAAGGGAAGCTAAAGAAACTTAAAGAGAAGACAAGCGGTCACGGATCCTTATTTTTATTAACAGATATCAACACGTCCATTTAAAAGGACTAAGTAGCAAATATGTTCTCTTCTGCATTCGACTGAACACAAAAGGCTAATTCCTGTACATTCACTAAGGCTCTGTCTTAAGGGAAACACAGGTTTCCATAAGGCAAACAATATCTAAAAGGAATGATAGTAAGTACTTTATCCAGCATGTCAATATGTATTGAAGTTCTTCCTGACAGTACAAAGATGCAAGCTAGTTGCATAAGCTCCTGTTGCCATTTTAATTCATATTTTAAAAGCTAAATATACAGTAAAGGGAAAGGCAAGTATAAAATATTAGTTCACATTATCAAAATGTGTCATTTGAGACATTTCCTGTGTAAGGTAGGTTGGTGTTTCAGCAGGGAAAGTCTGGAATGTCATTGCTGCATCACTGACCAAATTGTAAATGAAAAAACGTGATTCAGTATCATCTACACATGTACATACATGTTAATCAATATTATACATGACAGTCACATTTCTTTGTCAGTTTTCCTTTCTGCAGTCGGATCTGTCAGTTTCATGTCACTTTTTCTACAGCGACCAAAGTAAAAGTGAAATGTTTTAAAAACTGAGTTGTGAGTTACTCTTTCTGCACTCATGCAATGGGGGGAGAGGTGGCTATAAATGGTGAAATATTTTTAATAGCACTGACAATTGTTCATTCCTTTGGATATGAAGGTAGCTACTTTAAGATTTATTTCACCAACATTTTTAAAATAACTTTGAAATGAAAAAGAAAAACTGCACTATGAAATAAACGTGATAAATGCAGAAAATTCTGTCACATTCCACAAGGCATGTGGACTCACTTGGATGAGCAGAATGCACCTCCGCAGTATGATGTGCTAGTCCTCTCTGATACAAAGAACGACAGGATTTGGAAACTCAATCTGTACAGAAAATAACAACAACTAAATGGGCAGCTGATATAAATCCATATCTCTTCATGCTGTCCTAACACAACATTCACAAACTCATAAAAACACTGATTACACCCCCTGTGCTCTAACAATCACAAACAGGCAGCATATTTATTCCATTTTTTACTACAGTGCAAAACAGCAGCATACTCCAACTGAAGTGCTTCCCAAACCCTTAGCCGCTACCCTGTACGATGACGCCAGCTTTCAAGTCAGATTCCTGACCTTGGTTTTAGTCCAGACAGACATATGGCAGGATGTTCAACCTGCTCTCATCTCCATGTGGGTCTAAGGAGATGCACTCTGTCCAGTCGTACCAGGTACCCTTTGTGTCATAGCAGCCGTTAACCCCGGACCACTGCTGTGCATGTAATCTGCTGAGGTCTTCGTTGTTGATCGCTCTGCTAACTCCTGGTAAATCCTTGGCCGGTCGTTCTGGTGCTAACATGAGTGTCTTCTTGGTTTCTTTGCTTCTGTGTTCCTCTTTTTTCAAGAACTCTGTCATGAAAAAATGTGCACCAGGAGCATGGGTGCCCGACGATGTCAGCACGTTGCTTTGCTGGCTAAGGTAAGACTGGATAATTTCGCTTCTCGACAGCTCTTTCCAGTCTGTCTGCTGGAAGGGACTGCGAGGGACTGGCGGATTTTGCTTCGGCTGTTCTGGCCACTGAGGTTCAAGTCTGTGCACAAGTTTAGCCTCCTTCTCCTGGCAGAGCTCCTTATGGGAGGAGGGCTTGATCTGCCCTGTCACGGGGTCAAACGTGAGTCTCCTATCTTTTAACCTGACCGGTTTACTGCCATCTTCAACAGCCTGTCCATAGTCTTTAGACTTGTGTTTCTGTCTTTTCCTTTTCCCTGTATTGCTTAAAGAACCATCGTCTTCAGCACTGACCCTATCATTGAAGGAGGAGTCGGTTGGGTGGGGGAGAGATGTATCAGGAGGCCTGCCTTGACAGTCCAAACTTGAAGACCTCAAACTATCATTGTGAAAACCCTGTACACCAACATTTAAAGGCTGAGTAGAAGGCCCCAGCACAAAAGTATCCACAGACCCAGACCTCACAGTGGGACTCAAAAGACTCCCACTCTGTGCTTGTGTGGTTTGTCTGACAACAGCTTCCTGCTTTGGAGTTTGAGGACTGTGCAAGGAACAGCGGGGGCTTCTGGGTCGATACTGACCCCCAGAGGCAACTTGCTCCTTACTCTCTTGCTGCTGCAGAACTGATGCTTTTGACAAAGAAGTGCCAAGAGGTTTGCTGTATCCCAGTGAACTTGGATGAGGTTTTACGGCATTGACAGGGATTTTATTTGGCCTGTCATTTTCCAAAGGCTCAGAAATCTCCCTGTCTATAGGCTGACATGCACGAGAATCCGTAAAAAATTCAGAGCTGCTGCCAGTTCCATTGGTTTGCAGCTGTTTGGAGTTTTGTATTTTATCATTAAGGGTCGTTTTGGATTTCTTGGCTGGTAAAATCTGTCCCTCCTTCTGGTCACCCTTACGTTTCCTGTTTCCTGGTTTTTCCAATCGTGGGGAGAAGCAGTTGTTAAAGTCAGTTCTGTTCTTCAACTCTGGGCCTGTTTTACCTGATGTTGTGCTGGCAGCTGGTGCAGAGATGCAGGGATGAGCACCGCCATTGGAAGACCATGATGCACCTGTGCGTTCTTTGGACAACACCTCACCCTTCCCTGGCTCAATTAGCTTCTGCCAGTTTCGCAGCAGCTTCTTGGCTCTTTTTGCAAGGTCCTCGTTCTTGGTCTTCTTCCGGACATCGTTGATGAGCTTGCCGAGACGGGTTTCCTTCAAGGAAATGAGATTGGAGTGACACAGTGCCTATGACTCGACTTTTAAAAAGTGGGATTTAACTACATCTTGTTTTGAAAGTTCAAATTGAAGGTCACCTACCTCCAGTGCTTCTTTGGTGATGGGATGTTTCTCCAAAAAAGAGATAACCTCCATAACTACCACCATGTTGCATATCTGCTGAAAAGACAAATATTTATATATCACACGAAAAAAAAACATCATTGTGTTATCCCCGTTACAACAACAGCGTCCAAATCCAGCTATTTATGTGAAGATGTGACAGTTTGTGATTCTGAATTGAACGGGAACATTTGCTTGTTCTACAGAAAGAAGATGGGCTATTAAAAGGTCGGGGCATAATTTGAATAGACTTTCAAACATGCACCTGTATGTCAAGAAGACGATGTACTCGCACTGGTTTCAGGCTCAATATGACAAACTGAAACTGCATGCAAATGTCTCTGGCTGTGATGGACCACTGAAATAAATGTTGCACATCATGAGTATTTGATTAAAGGCATTGTATGTGTCCTGAAGTATCTTGAAGTGTGAGATATCTCATAGGTTTGTGCAATGAATTGACATGTCATGAAAAACTATTTCATCCATAATTACCCACCAACAAAATCTGAGAAAGTTGTTTGTCTATTTCTATAATCATTTTTTAAAGCAAAAATGTTAAACGTTGGATATCTCCAGGTTCTCAAAACATTTGGTCAAGTCGGCTTTTGCTTGAATATATTGTTACAGGACTTTTTGCTGTCTTCTATTTATAGATCAAATCATTACTAATTGTTAGTGTGGAGAAAATGCACAACATCATAGTTTACTGCATAGAGCATATACCTCTGGCAAGGAGGTTATATTTTCACTCCGCAGTATCATGCAAAAACCGCTGAACAGATTTCCACAAAATCTGGTGGACTGGGCCAATGCAGAACTCATTATATTTTGGCACAGATCTGAATAAAGGGATGGATCCAGGAATATTTTATCCCCAATTTTACTTTGACATTTTCAACGATTTTCCAGGATAATTATTGGACGAAAGAAGTCAGGCATATTAAAGAAACTTATCTTGAAATTTAAAATATCTTTTGGGTGTTTGACTGCGATGGTATTTTCAGGAGAACCGGACAGCATCCTGGTATAAGTCTGGCCAATATAACAAAATCTTCGGTTTTCGCAATTTAATTTCTTTCAATAGCAATATAACAAAGGTTCAATACATGTCAATATAATGCTTATGCATTGTGCACAGTGAGGGGGTAGAACACATAATTGATCTACCTCAGATGACTAAAATGTTTTACTGTTTATTATGCGTTTGTCATTCTTTGCTAATAAATACAAGTTTAAAACAACAATCTTCAATCAGGAGCACAAATCAGTCTCTAAATGTAAAATAATCATGTGACATTTATCAGGATGATCATCAATATCGACTGATATGATATTTATATCTCTATATTCTTTTTTTCTATGCAATGTTTGGCCACATCGTCCAGCCCTGAACTGTATATCAACATCACATGGTGTCATCTAGTCTGATTGTACAATCTTATGTGTTGTAACAATAGTAATTCACCAGCTGTATAAGGGGTGAAGATGTCTGAATGTATATAAATCTTTATATTAACTGAATCCCATAATAATCTACATTCCTGTCACTGAGCTGCAGATTTACACTTCCTATGGAGAAGCTCAGTTTAAACGACACAGTGTATTTCAGTGCACAGATATAAACACAGTGTTAGCCAGCAGCAGTGTTAGCCAGGCGCCTGGGTTCCTTGTGTCGGTTACTTTCGCTAACACGAGATGTTTACCAGCCAATTAACAAGCACATAATAAGTCTCCACACACACCGACCGCCTCTGCTCTTCCCCCCCCCGCCTGCAGGGACCTGAAGCCGGCTCATTGTTCACCTTTGTCCCCTGAACAAACCACCGCTCATACTCACATTGCTCTGGCCGTCGATGGCCTGTAGCAGCCGGTCTCTCATCACCTGCGGAGTGACCGGAGCCGCTGTCATCGCCTGGCGGTGTCGCGGGTCGGTCAGGACGGACTGGAGACAGCGGAGGGTCCGCTCCTCACCGGTGGAAACCTGCCGACGCGCTCACAGGCCCGGCGGAGGATTTTCTGGAGGAGCGGGCATCATGGTTTTTTATGACGCTTTACGCTTCGTCTTCGTTCGCCACCAGCATGTGCTGATTCTATTGAGGCGACGACGACGACAGAAAATCCTCTCCGGGAATCGGCCACCGTCCTCGGCTGGCAGCCTCCTCCTCCGCGGCTGCGTCGCACACATATATATGGTGCGTAGACACCGCATTGGCCGCTGGGTCTTACTACGTCAACGTCGCCGCCATATTGGACCGAACACAGTGTCAACAAATACACGAAGAGCTGCGGAGTTCACAACACCTCTCATGATCACTGGTTTTCTATTGAATTATAAACAGTAAACCTCTTTTATAAAGAGCTTCAGAACACCTCTAACAGTCACTTGTATATTTATTTATATCAGCTCTATGACTCTCATAAGCTCATATCACCTCTCAAATGTTTGGGAAAATACTTTGTAATAATAACATTTTATCTTTGATTGAATCTAGATTTGAAAAGGGACAATGATCATTAATCAACATTCATACAAATGTAAATGCAGAAAGGCTAAATTCATCAGCAGTGCATTTGCCAGATGTTGATAGGCATCCTGCAGTGATATAAACATAGTGAAATAATAAAAACACAATAAGATGTGCTGACAAAAGAAAGAAGAATATATAAAGGAAATGTTAACATCAAGATATGGTGTAATATGTTATTGAGAACCGACAGTGTCATCACATTATTTCACCAGGACTGTAGTCCTAAAAATTTACAGCTGCAAATGTCTTCTCATAGTGGTGTATCCTTTTTAACGATTGTTCCTATTGTGTTACTGTATTATTGTTTTTTTTGTCATCGTTATTTGAAAAGGGAAAATGATTAATCAACATTCATACAAATGTAAATGCAGAGAGGCTAATTTCATCAGCAGTACAAAGGACAAACACTACAAAACTAGCAGGTTCCTCAGGGACAAAAGAAAACATGTATGTCAGATTGCTACAAATGTAAAATACAGAAGTATGTAGCATTTATTTAAAATCTACAGCTGAGTTGAAAGTAATAATTGTACTCATAATTTTAGTATAAACTAAATCTTATTATAGTATAAACTAAAATTGAATATTGAAATATGATATGATACATAATTAAGAGACGGGCGAGATATGAAATTGTTGATATTTTATTAGGCAAACCAGTTTTCATAAATATGAAAAAATATGAAGTTTATGTTGCAATAATAATGTATAATCCTGAGAAGAAATGAGATATTGTAATTTCAGCTGGAATGTAGAAACAGCTAGAACATTAGTGTGTTCATAATTCAGAAGTCATTGTCACTCTCCTCCAACAGAGGGGGTCTCACAGCCCCCCTGGAGGTGTGAGAACCCTTGGACACTGGATCCTCCAAACTGTCATCCTCCAAATCCTTGCTTTCCTCTTCCCCTTCGCCCTCCTCGTCTTCTTCATCATCCTCGTCCACGTCGATCTCGCTGTCCTCGGTCTGAAACACAAGGCCACAAGGTCACAAATAGAACTAATTGCATGATTCAAATAGGATTACAATTTCAAAACACTGAGTGGAGCTACACTGGGGATGTGCACATTTTCTACCCAACACTAAATCAGTTCAACACAACTAATCAGACAGGGGGGTCTAACTACAGAGTCACTTCTTCAGGTTGCATGAAAACATGCAGAGTCCTGGACTGATTTTACAGCAAACTGCTTGATGCAACATCTGGAGTCGACAGCTACAGTGAAAACATAACCATGTTTCTTGTTTGAAGGAAAAATCAAAATCAAATCCAAAAGTCCATCCTGAACAATTTGAGCACAATGACCATTTGCACTAATGATCAAAACTTTAACAGAGGCATTGAAGAAAGGAGAAAAATATTAAAATATGAACGGCTACATATCATATCTGTAGGAAGATAATTGGGAAAGTGAGACTTGATATTGTCGTGGACGGGAAATGGACAAGGCAGGGTTGAGGCTAAACCCTCGTAAATGTGTTAGTATGTCATTACTTGGTGGATCCAATGATAATATGATGAAAATTACCTCTTTCAGGGTTTCTTCTTTGTATTTACTGATGAAAAACATGTGTGACTTACAAAGACAACAGAGAACAAGCCAAAACAATTGCAACTAATCCACAAGCTTTGTGTGTGTGTCAACCACTGGACACACCTGCAAACTACTAAGGGTGAAGATGGACTATACGCCCTCCACAAACCTTTAGTTTCCGTTGTTTTTTGGCAGAATGAACTGGCTTTCTGGGAACAGCCGAGGGCTTTTTAGAATAAAGGTGACAGAGAAAGGTGAAGATACTGAACAAAGGAAGATGAAAACCAAAAGGGATGTGAAACTGATCTCGGATGGGGGACAAGACACTTGCAAATGACAAATAAAAGTAAACAGTTTTAGTTTTTAAGTTGTATCCGTAGTGAGAGAGATGACACAATCAACGGCCACTGTGAGCAAAATCTGCAAAGAAGTCTTTGGATTTTCAAGATTTAGCGAACATATTAAGAGGTGGGAGGAAGAAAGCAGTCTTGTTTTGAGGTACGAACCTCGTCGCTGTCCCCCTGCATGGTCCCGATGAAACGAGCTCCTGATCCTACGGTGAAAAAGAGGCGATGTTCAGTTTACATGAAAGGAAGCAAAGTTTTCATGGGCCAAGTATCTATTTATGAGAACCGCAGACAACACTCATATAAAGACAATTTGAAATTTGCTCATAATCAACTTCAGCTTTTGCTCATTTTTCATAGCCACAACAAAGACATGGCTTGCCCTCATCTGTTTTGTGTACCTGCCATGATGCCGTTACGTGTGGGCCGGGGCTTTGAGGGTCGACTCTCTTCTATGTCACTGTCTGAGCCGTCATCTTCTGGGACGTCCATGTCAGAATCCTCATCTTTCACTGCAGAAAACATAATAACACAAAGTTGTGATCACATAAAGATTGAGGTTGTTTTGCCTTTTGCTTTTAGTTTGTGTGTTGTTCTTACGGGAGCTCCTCATCAAATCTCTCTCCTCCTCCCTCAGTTTGTGCTGCATAATCCTCATGTTGTTTTCAGCCTCCTGCAGGGGGGGGGGGCAACACAAAGATTCATACATCTGTCAGATTCAGAATCCCAGATCTTTCCACCTTAATGTCTCCAGTCTCTTCTATCCATTGCATTCATATCTGAATTTGAACTTTAATGTCATATAGTTTTAATTCTCAGGCCTGCCAGTGATAGATAGATGGGAAGAGGAAGAAAGCATGCTCCTTTTAATCATGCTTATGTGGTTCATTGGATTTGCCCAGGATGTATGTAGCAGTATACAAATATTTTAAGTTGCTTCATGTGCAAGAAGGATACTTTTTTATTTTATTATTTATCTTTATGACCAAAAGTGGATGGCAAGTAACATAATTTCTAACTTTTTCAAATGTTCTAATAATTTTTAACTGACTACCTCCCATATTTTCTAACGGATCCACTGCGATTCCATCTGTAAAACCTCTGAGAATGCCCGTTCTACATATCATACATACTCACACACCTCAAACCTCTCCTGCTCCAGTCTGTGGTACTCATCCAGCTGAGCCTCCAGAAAGCTGAGGTTCCTGAACTTCTCCACATAGATGACGTACGTCTTTTGCAGCTCCTCCTCTATCTTCTCATATTCATCCATGAATGCTGGCCTGAAACATTGAGAGAGGAACACAAAAATGTATTTTGCTGCTGTACAAATGATGCTAATATGTATATATATATATATATATATATATATATATATACACACACACACACACACATAATTGCAATTAAAGTGTAGGTCACTTTGATTTAAATTCTTTCTTTCTTTTAATTCAGCTGTGGCAGTGGGGAAACATTCCCCTCGTTTTGCCTCTCCACTACCCGTCTGGTCATAATAATTAATAGTCTTTCCACTGTTGTTTACATTTTAACTAGTCAGATCTGATACCTGATGATGCTCAAGTGTTCCCGGTCTCTCTCGCCTCTCTCTCTCCCCCTCCTCCCCCTCCCCACTATCACTTTCTCCTCTCTTTTACACCCACTCTCCTCTCCTCCCCTTTTTCTTTGCTCACCCCAACCGGTCGAGGCAGATGACCGCCCACATTGAGCCTGGTTCTGCTCGAGGTTTCTCCCTGTTAATGACAGTCGCCAGTGCTTGCTCATCGTCGGAACTGTTGGGTTTCTCTATATTAATATGATTAATATACCTTCTATGTAAAGTGCCTTGAGATAATGTATATTATGATTTGGCACTATACAAATAAAATTGAATTGAATTGAATAAACTCACCTGACACTCTGAAGCGTCTGGAGTCTCTTTCGATTCCTCTCCAGTTCCTGCTTCTTCTTCTCTATTTTGGCGTCCAGAGTGGTCACATCCGATCCGACATTTCTCAGCATCTCTTTGGTCTTCTCTACACTTTCCTTGAAAATGAACATAGGGGCATGGAGGCAGATTTAGTTCCATTTCATGACTAAAATCAGGTCATGAGTGAATAAAAAAAAAATCTATATTTTATAAAGGTTCGACAGGATAATTAAATACTAACCAAAACCTCCTTGATGGCAGCTCTCAGGGCCTTCTCTGTCTCATTGACCTCCAGAGGTCTGGCAATGGCCGCAGTTCTCATTTCCTGTCAGGACAATGACAACAAAGACAGAGTCATCTCCTGCATCACTGACACTGTTTTAAACAGACATCATCATTGTACAGCTGTCATCATCAGCGGGTTCACTGCAGGAAAAGAGACCCATTAAAGTGACACCTGTTTTTGACAATTTTTTGTCTTTCCATATGAACTTTTCTTATTCTCAAGGATTGTGTGGACTCAGGATCAAGGAAAGTGGAAACCAGTGTGTCAGTGTTTTCTCACCCTCAGTTCTACCTCTTTTCCCAGTAAATCATACAGAGATGCTCCTTTAGAAGTGACCTCGGATGCCAACTGTCGAGCTGCTTTAAGATCAGAAATCTACATTGAAGACAGTGAGACACATTCAGCAAATTACAGTTTTGTCTTGTACATAAGTAAAGGGATGAACATCTACAAAGGAAATGGCATCATGATAGTTATACTATGGTTGTTGAGAAAAACACATTGTGGGGAAATAATGCTACAAAGGTTACTGAAAACCAACTTGAGCTGTGCAAAACAGTTGAAAACTGCACAATATTTGGCTTGGTTTCAACTTAAATGTTACTGAATGTCATTCTTATTACACTTATTCCTTACAGCCGACAGATCTTTAAACTCAGACACGACTGAAGATAAAGAAACTGTCTTTTCACCCGTGATCCGAGGTCAAACTTGAACTTGTTGTTATCCTCCTCAACTATTTCTCCAAAGGCCATCTGCTTAGTCTTCATAGCGTTGTACAGCACCGAGGTGATCTTCAGCAGCTCTTTCACCGCGTAGCCATCAGCCTGGTAGAGGTGCTTCATGTTGAGTTTTATATGAGCCTTCGTTGCCTGCAAACAGGTGAGATGCTGCTTTAGAAAGATGAAGGGTAGACCCTTTATTAGCTACAAGGAACTTAACATTTGAATAAAACATTTGATAGACATCACCATAAACTGGGCCACAGCCTTAATGAAGAACACCCTGTCTGACTCTGTATCCACATCAGTGGGAATATCCATGTGGGGCTCATATCTTTGTGAAAAGGAAAGAGAGAGGGGGTGGTAAAGACAAACAATAAATATATCACAGATGCACAATATAACCAATGTAACGAATGTCAAATTCAAAGTTGGCGTTATCATGGCTTCAAGAATCATATTACAAAACTGGATGTCCCATGGCAAATGAATGGATTATTGAAATGATTGAGATTATCATAGGAACATATGCTGGGGAAAATTGATAATGGAGGAAATGCCTCTTCTGATTTTGTGTGAGACTAAAACAAATTGTATATAATTTCATTAATGGCTACTCATCCCTAGTGTCCACAGTATTAATTCATTTGAAATTAATGGACGGTCGCCCTCTATTGTGTAAATGATCTGTACTGTATGCTGCACTGCTCTGTTGCACAAAGAACTCAGAGGGAATATATATTTGATGGATCAGTGGGCGAGAGAAACAACAACTTTTTAAACTGGATGAATGTGTGGAGCTCGGTCATACCTTTTTATGAGCCATATCAATATCTCTGCCACCAAGGTGAAGTTTGGCGTTCTAAAGTTCTGCACGGATATCAACCTGGGATATCCCAAGGCCCTCATCATCTCAGTGAAATCTGCCAAACGAGGAGCAGCTCCAGTTGTCAACATTACACAACAACAACAACAACAAATCTCAGTTCAAGACGAGCATCGCTTACTTCTCAATTCTCTGAAGGACATCCTGGTGATGTTGCAGCAACAGAAGCTGTGGTGGTTCCTCCACTGGACACAAGTGAAGTGAGGATGAGAGATGACAACACAGAGGAAGCTACTGACCAATGCAGCCCACAAACATGAGGCCTGACTGCTTCGAAGGTTCAGCTGAAGCGAAAAGTCCTGTAAGATAGAAGATAGTAAGCTGACTGGACTCGACTACACATGAAACATCGTCCATGATATATAACAGAGTTGGGTAATTGGTGTTAGCGTGTGTCTTAGCATCGATCGGGTGTTTGAAGCTAACGCCTTCAGAGACCCCCACCCCTCTTAAGAGCTAGCTTGTGGCTAACAGGAAGTGAGACGGTGAAGCTAACGCCCGGTGTCACTCTCTGAACGTCCCGGTCAGCAGCGATGAACACAACATGTGGTGTTTTACTGTCATAATAATGATGGAGGTACCTGTCGCAGCTGCTCGTGAGCTAGCTTCGTCTTCTCCGTAGATGGTCGCTATGGAAACACTTTCTTGTACTACGGAAGCTCAACGCGGCCAAAAAAAAGCAGCAGCGTTTTTTTCTTCTTCGTGGTAAAAACAGTGGCGTTTGTTCCATGTGCTTTTTATCACGTGATGATTTGAGTAAAGAAAGAGTTTCTAAAGCTTCTGAGCAAAGCAATAAAAAAGTTGTGAATTGCCGTATTTGAAGAAAATACTGACTTTTTGAATTAAAAACAGACTCGTTTTGCTCACAAGCCTTTAACACAGATTTATCCAAATGTGTTTAGGGAAAATGTCCTTATTAAGATCAATCTTAAATGTGAATGAATGTTTCCTATAATTATTAAAGCTTAAGCAGCTAAAATCTAACTGAATTTAACGCCTTTCTTAACGGCTTCAAGAAAACAAACGTGTCGCTGAGAGGCTGAGGTCGGGCCTGATCGAATAATCACTGAACTTGCACAAACTCATAGAGTAAAAGCAATCACAGTGATCAGATATGGCGTCCCCACTCACCCTGTCTCCGTCCCACAAAGAACAGGTCATATAAACTACAACCCCCACCCATGTCCAATGTGACCACTTCCGGCCATATTAATATGATCACAAAAACACAATAAATAACAAATAATACCAATAAACCCCCAAAATACAAACCTACTACACCATGTATCCTAACCAAAATAATGATAATAAAATTCCTCTTTGACTTATTCATGGCTCCTACACCTTTTATTTTATTTGATTAGTGAAGCACTTTGTATTCTTTTTCAGATAACTGCTATACAAACAAAGTTATTATTAGGATTATTAGGATTATGTAACATTGTGCTTGCAGGACTCTCACATATACCTGAGTGTTTTAAAGGGATCTCTAGCTGTTAGTAGTCCTTGGTGCGGCCACAGGGGGCGACACCTCTCAGACAATGCCGCAGAAGAGTCTTTATATCTCCGGGCTGTCCTCCTGACGCAGAGCGTGATGGAGCCGGGGATCGAACCACCTCACAACAACAACACGCCAACTGGAAACGAGCCTCCTGCCCACGGCCTCCACAGCAAGCGCCTGAAGGAGCTGGAGAATGCCGCCCTGCAGACCACTCTGATCTCACAGATGGAGACGGAATCCGGGGCGGACGCCGGGAGCTGGACGGAGCAGCAGTCCGGGCGGGACGAGCAGTTGAACGGCTTGTCCTTGAACCAGCGGTCGGAGCCTCCGCAGCAGCCCGGCGCGGTGGACACCGAGGCGGCGGCGGCGGAGGAGCCGGAGGAGGCGGAAGTGGAGCCAAATGTTTCCAAGCAGCGTGCGGAAGAGGAACGGACCCTGACGGACCATTTAAACAAACGGCTGCTCTCCTCGTTTCTGGAGAAGCTTAACGAAAGGGACCTGGCGCTTCCCGGTGTTCAGCGCCTGGACTGCGCTGTAGCCGACGAGGACTCGAACAGGGCCGCAGATGAGTGGTGAAGCACCGGGCTGCGGCGCAGAGCGGCGGCGGTGCCACGGTGGGGTTCAGGACGCAGCGTGCACAGGAAGCACAACCCTGCTACTTCCAAGACAGACTTACATTTAGTCCCGTGTATCTATCCTGCAACGTGTGTGTCGAGAGGTTTCTGTTTTTTTTCAATGGTGAGAATGGGTGGAACATGTAAGAAAATGCAATAAATGACCATGATATGAAGAGCTTTGTACTCACTGGTTACTCACATCTGGCAGCTGTGTGCACATCTGGATTTTGAAGTGACATTCAATCCACAGCAGATGTCTCTACACACCAAAATATACAGCTTATATCTGGTGATATAAAGACTTTATACACTCTTATATCCTCAAGTCTCATTTGTAGGGCCTTAAAATAAACTGTAATTCAATTAGATGTGATAGAAGAATGGAGAGGAACTTAAGCAGAGTGTTCATAAGTCCCAAGATAAGTACATTTAACTAAAGGTGTTTCACTTCAAGTAAATGTCAATTTTAAATTCACATTTAAAACTATGATCTTGTCTATAAAAGCTACTCTTTAGCCCCTTTTCCACAGGACTAAAGCCCACTAACACCAACCAATATCTGGCTTTTGTCTGCAATGAGAATAGATTTAATCAGCATTCACTCCGGAGTCAAATGACTCTGCAGTAAACACGGCAATTTCTTTCTTTCTTTCTTTTTGCACTCTAGACACTGCTTTGGTTGCATATATATACTGATGTGGGCCACTTCAGATATTGATGCGGCACTTCTGGCCTTGTGGCCAAAATGTATGTAAGCCTAAAGTGGCACACTTGTAATGACAAATGTGGACTGATTATCCCAAAACAATTGTGGGCCTTTTTTGGCCAACACGTGGTGATCTCGGCACAATGTAATCTGGATTTGAACCTTAAGTGACCCATGAACTGAAAGGTCAAACTCCTGGCAATAGAAAAAAAGAAACATTTAGAAAGACAGACTTTCGACTGGGGATCAACATCTGGGCACTGCTATCTGACTGCAAACCTGCAGACCTGCATCATCACATTGACAGGATGATTTATTATCCAGCACATTAACAAAATTAACTGCAGATATCCAGTATAGTGTAAAGTTTAATCACGGAGGTTGTCACAGACAGAAACGTGTAACCTAAGAATATATTTTGCTCATAAACATGTTCTTTAAAACTTATTTAAAATACAAAATGTTGAACAGAGACAACAACAATCTTTGTAAGAGAAACACAAAGTCACTTCAGAAGGTACCGAACCCATCAAGCGTTTCCTTGTATTCATTGTCTTTTCACTCATAAAGTAGGATTGTGTTATTTCTTACTTTAAAAGTGGCTCAGTTTCTCTTTAATGTTACAAATCCTTCATTGGAACCAGAGTCAACAACTGGTTTAACTGACAAATATGAACAGTAGAAAACATTGACATGGAGATGTGTCTCTGACTTTGTTACCTCCTCAAGGAGGTAATGTTTTCATTGCTGTCTGTGTGTTGGCGAGACAATGCAAAAACCACTGAAGTGATTTCACTGAAACCTAATGGCAGGATGTGACATGGGCCGAGGAAGAGGAGCAGATTCATTTAAGGATTACGGTTTTTTGCTCTTTCTTTAACACTATGAGACAGGACTTCTTTTTTTTTAATTTTTGTGATTTTTCTCAAAAATAATGCAGAGAGCTTGATGTTAAAAAAATCTGACAGACTTGGAGGACTATATCTATGAGTTGGTGCAATTTGGTGCAGCATGAATAGATTTAAGGTAATCGTTGGGGCTAAGGTATGCGCTCTACTGAATGTGTTTCAGTTTGTTTTTTCCCCGTGCATCCACCCTAAAGTAATTGTTCTCATAGCTCATATTTGATATTCGTCCACTAGGAGTCTCTCATTCTAAAAAACAAAAGACCCAGGGTGCATTCGAATAGTCAATTTTTCTTAGGAAGGTTCCTGAAGTATTTAAGCAGCAGACATAATACGAGCTGAATTCTCTCTTAGAGTCTAAATGATGAGGAAAGGAACTTATCTCCTATAGCAAAGGAAACATTGGACCATCCTTTACGAAAGAAAAGGAGAAAGTGCCTGTCACATCTGTCCCATTGACAGATCCCAGTCACATTGAACAACAAGCGTACTGAATTTACAGTTCACAAAATCATCATCAGAACCAAATACACATATAAAAGATTTAGATCCCTCGATTGCAGAATGCACAAAAATATTTTTCTCCACGTTTATTCCAACATTTCACTTCCTTTTAGTTTTATTTTCAATAAAATAAATGTTTTTGTTTATTTCCCTGAGTAACTGATCAGTTTAAACAGACAACATCATTTCTCAGGATGTGTCATTCTGTTTTGGACAGGAAACAATCACTACGTACCTTTTTAAATAAGGTTGGTTGTATAAAGAACCTCTCACAGTAGGTCCTTCACGTCTCTCCTTGACCTTGTGACGTTTTCCACTGGGATCAAGGACTAATGGCCAGGAGAGGAGATTATTAGGATTTTTCAAATGGGTTTTTGGAGATTGAAAATTGTTGGAAATATCTTTGGATTATATAAGTACACAAGTCAATGAAATATATAAAACATAGGTCTTGTCATCGTGTGACATTTTAATAAAGAATTGTAAGACCTACATATTATATCATCTGAAGATGTTTGTTGTGGACTGCAGTGACCTTGGACCTCCTTAGATTTTTTAAAGACTGTCTGTCAATGCCTCTGATAGCATCACTGTGTTTTCTGCTGTTCACATTTATGCTGCAAAGCCATAACTGGCCAAGAGATCTCACTTTTACAGGAAATTCACATGAAAATATTATTACCTGATACATAAAAAGAGGAAATTTGAAGGTGATTCTGATAATAAGTTGAATTACAATAAATGTGTCTGAATCCATTTTGTCTATAAGATGGACGATATGTCAGCTGCCCAAAAATGAAGCCATAGCATCTCAATCTCCACCTTGCGGTTGGTTGCAGTAAAGGTGATAAACCCTGCCTACTCTATGTTAATGGTTGGGACATGGACCAAACAAAAAGTCAAATTAATGTTTTCGAAGTTTCTGTAATTTCAGAAAGTTCTTATCACACTGCTGTGAGTCTAGGTGTTAATAAATTAATTAAATCCTGTGTATCGGCAGGACGTCGCTACCGCAGCTATATCCCGCCATCACTACAGCACTAACTCTGGCTCCAAATGCACAAAATGATGGCGTCTGTATCCTTGATATTTTGGCTTAATATCTGTCATCTGTCGTCTGTGGTCTGTTCACAAACCAGACTCTGTTTACCTCAGACTGTCACATATCCAGTAACCCTGGCTGAAGTAGCGGTGTGCTGTGATACAGATATGGAGCATTCCTGAATGAATGTCCTGATGAAAGACACTTTCAACATTAAAGGAATTTAAATAACACCTGAGGACATTTGATTGCAGTCAATATGTTCCTCGGCACAATAATTAAATATCTCCAGATGTAAAACCTTCAAAAAGTTTCAGAACAGAAAAAAGACCAGTACTATAAATGATTACTGCTACTAGAGAGGAAAGACCACTATTTGGATTAAATCATTTTCAGTAGTTTCATGGTTTAAAGTGGTGAAGTATTATTCCCATCATCTGTCAGTTCTTTTTCATTTGCATCGTCTCTGTGCAGATTCCTTAAAGGCACAAGCTGTGGTTGAGTTGCTTTGTCTCCCTGGAAAAAAAAGACCAAAATATTGATTTCATGATATACTTTTTACATTTTAAAATCTGAATCCTAAACATATTCTTGATTTATTAATTCTCAATATACTGAAATGTTGAAACTGCTTTTAGGCAGATGAGTGTAAGTTCAGGTTGAGACTCAGAGTTGTATTTGCTGTATAGGTCATGCTATATGCATCATATGTATAATACAGTCATACCCTTAGTAAGCAGCTAAAATAGTGACAGCTAGACCTCTGATATCTTATTGATTAATAATTGTCATTCATTTCTTTACCCTGTTAGCTCTGTTCAGGCTCACAGGCGTCGCCAGCATTTCCACAGATGCATGGTGCAGAAGACAGGGAAACACTCTGGACAATATTTCAGTCTTAGGACAAACACAGACATACAACACGTTCACATTTGTACATGMGTATCATGACAATTGTGTTCCAAATTGAAAAATACATAACTTAATAAGATGACATTGAAAAGTGAAACTTTAGTGCTGCACAAAAGAGACACGTTCTTATTGAGTCTACAAAATTGACATTTTGAAGCTTTACCCTTCAGTTTGAGTTTGAGTCCATGTGAATTGTATGATTTAAAATTGTTGAACAAATAAAGAGCTCCTGGTATAAATCAGCATTATTATATAAGGAAAACCTGCACACATCTAGACCAGGGTGTCATCTAGTGTAAGATAATCAACAGATATATTTTAAGTTCATCTATGAGTCTTTATATTTCATCTATAAGTTTATGTCTATAGCCTCTGTCACAGAGGTTTTCATTCTGTCCATTTTATTGTTGGTTAGTTTCTATGTTTGCTTGTCTGTAAACAAGACACTAAAAGTTTGAACAGGCTTCCATGAAAATTGATGGAAGGATGCGATAGAATGACACTCAGTAGAGCACAAACCACCACCAAGGCCCAACTGTCCCCTTATAGGATCCCTAAATGTCTCTTTTTCATCCAGATCCATTATTATTCTCTAGGAAAACTCGCACAAAAATCCTGAATCCTCCCCATGATCCGGATCCCCATCAAAAATTAATGTTTGATTTTTTTACCCAAACCACATCCTTATTCTGAAAAAAATCAACTAGAGCTTTTGTCACAGTACTCACTCTGTGCTCTGAATGAACCTCCACTTGTTTTTTTTTCAGGTCCCACCACAATGAACCCTCTTTAATATGACTCCTCTCTGTCTGCCCTGTGTGGAGAGAGAAACATATTCTTATTATTGATTATTAATGATAAGGTTATACAATTTCATTATAAACTCTCTAGTACAAACAACGTGGTATCAGTCCACATCATGGCACATCAGGTGTATTGGATTGTAAGTAAGTAAATGTCTGAACTGGCAGCTCAGTGTATTTTATTGGCTCTAATTCAAACAGAAGATCTCAACAAAGTTTCATCCTCAATCAGCAGTTTTCACTTCAGCCAAACTCAACAGAAGTTCATTGGTCTTTATCTTCTCACCTGTCGCATAACTCACTATCAGCCCGACTAGTACAACCGAACCTGTCGCCATAGCACCAAAGTAGAGGTAGGAGATGGAGTAGAAGTTAAGCAGGGCCCTAGTTTAGAAAAGGCAGGGTGAAGCGAATTAAAGCTTTTACAAAAAAAAGTACAGTTCTGTTTCAGTCGTTGCCGTTGAACTCACTGACCCCTGATTATCCGGCTGTAGCAGTGTGGAGATGGAGAGCTGTTCCTGGTTGGGGCTGCTGTTCAGGGTGATGTTGCCACGTTGGCACTCGCCCGCGTAGCTTGGCAAGACACCCATCATCTCTTCACTGGGAGGATAGAGAGATGAACCAACAGCCAACCACAGAGAGATGCAAAAGCCCGATATCATTCCTGAGAATGCCCCCTGAGAGACAAGATAAGATGATCTTTTATTTTAGTTTACTGATCATCCTGAGGAAATGCAGCCCAAGTACAGAATGAATATGGACTAAAAGGAAATAGATGAAATTGGAATAAAATAAAATGAAGTATATAAGTACAATTAGACACAAAACACAGATTGGGGACATGATGATGAAGCATCTTTTAGTTCAGCTCAGTGCTGCTTTCATCCGAAGAGACAACACAATTTAAAGTGTGATTATGTTTTTCTGATAATCTGGATCACCAGCCACTCACCAGCCGGTTTGCTGCCGGAACAAACATCCCCAAAATGAATACACCTAGTAATGGCCCGCTGACCACACCCATGATGGTGAAAGATCCCTGAGGAGAGAAAATAAATGAAACTAATAAAACAAATAGTGGATTGTCAGTACAAATCTCATTGTGTAGTTCATCACCACCGTCTTTGATTTTAGATATTGTGTTATATCACTTGCTGTCTGTGACTTTAAAGGACATTGTATTTATTTGCTTCTTGTCTTTTCTTGTTTGTTCGGCTGTGAGGATCCATAGCGTGTTCTTGTCGTGATGCATTTGAAAAAGTGCCTGGCCGTTTCATGTTGGATTATACATGATGTAATATGGCTATATTCATATATTACACCTGCAGAACTCCCCAGTCCAAGAGGGAGGAGAGAGCCGCCACGGTCATACAACCAAATCCATACAAGAAGGCTTCAAGAAAAAACAGAAGAGCAAAGACAGAAGTAATGTAGCAGAGGTGTGGACAATACGCACTTTAAATACCCACAATATTAGAAGTGGTCAATGAGAATTAACCTACACAGTCCTTTAGAAATAAGAATTTGTTTCTTCTGGCTGATGTTGACCAGATGAGGTTGCAGCAGATCCTCCATCGTCACTGCTGCCATGGCGTTGATACTGGTGGAGACCGTGCTATTAAAAAGACATTTGGTATCACACATCAGCTCCCTACTGGCCATATTTATATACTGCTACAACATGGATGACACGAAGACTACCAAAAAGTGACGCCACATCATCTTTATCACCCTTTGTGGCTGGCTGCTGTATTAATCATAAACATTTGCTCCTGCCCACTTTAAAGGACAGTTTCTGAAACAGTGAAACTAAATCATCTTGATTGCCCCTAGTGGCTGGAAAACTCACCTCCTCCATGTTAGTACACGTCAAATAAAAATATTTTTAATCAAAGATGGCTTCTGTCATTTTAGGTAGTTATATCACACTGATATATATATATATATATATATATATATATATATATATATATATTTAATTTATATTTATATTTTTTAAGTGTTTATTTTTCATTAGTTATTTAATGCTATAAAAACAGCATGAAACTTCATGATTGACAGTTGAGACTAACTTGTGATTGGTCAGGGACAAGTTTTTCACAGTAAATATTAATTGTGATAATGCACCAAACAATATTGCTGATACTAACTCTACATAATGTGGATTTAATGGGGAGATAATAAGATTCAAATACCTCAGAGTGCCACTGTATGCACTGGCAAGGAACAGACCCGGGAAGCCTTGATGACTTCTGAATATGTCCAATACAAAGTACGGCATGTACTTTATCAGCGAGAGGGATAAAAGTGAAAAGTGAATATCAGTGTTAGAAAAAATGACATATTTCTGTTGCTCTTTATCAAATAAAATCAAAATGTGAAAATAATGACACAGATATTTTTTCATAACCACAGTCACAGTGGTGAAGTTAGTTCACCGCGCTTTGATTTAAGGAGCATCAGTAAATAACATTGTTTTTGACCGGTGTGTCATTGTTACCAGATCAGGGGAAGATATTTTCCCAGACTTCAGCGGATCGCAGTGGATGTAATATGCAAACATTACGATGCCGCAGGTCGCTGCACTGCTCACAACGAGGAACAGACCCACCTGGTTCACAAACAGCGCCCTGCAATCAAAAGCACCCGTCCAGGTGACACCTGGTCTTCAGGTTTTACCGACGACAAACAGCTACCATCATTGACTATTATAAAGGTGGACGACATTTCGACAGTTCCTAAGGAAACTAAATCATCTTGATTGCCCCTAGTGGCTGGCTGCAGCAAAAGTTAGAAACCTCACCTCCTCCATGTTGGTACACGTTAAATACATTTTCTCGAAGATGGTTTCTGTCATTTTAGTAAAGTCTTTTGTTCCAGTAAGTTTGGTTTTAATTATCATTTGATGCTATAAGGGTAAAACATGATGATTGAAACTGACTCATGATTGGCCGAGCACGTGTATCGGCGGGGCCTTGCTACTGCAGCTTTGACTCCAAATGGCGTCCAAAGAACAAAATAGCGCGGATCTTATTTGGATGTTAGTTATATTTTTGTGCAATGGGAGTAAATGCAGACACGTCGTCCATCTTTACTTACAGTCTGTTGAGGAATTTTTGTATATCCTCACACATTACTGTATATGCCACTATATACCATATTATGTATATATAGTGTATATTACATTATATCTGTGCACCATTAAGAGAAGATTGCCTGGCTAATTCCACAGATAATTATTTCTCTCTCTAAGCAGTACCAACCATCAGTGCATTGTAGTGTGGGACTTTCATATCTAACTCAGATGCTCAGACAGAGAGGCACCAACTTCAACTCTTTTTGTGTATTACGTAAGATGTTCGGACACAATGTGTTTTAGGAACGCATATTTAGACTTAACTATCCAATAGGATGCAAACATCTACATGGAACACAGAGAGTGAGAGCAATTTTAGCCATTGATCTAGTCATTGATGTGCTGTTAGAATGGGTGAAGCAAGTAGAGGTAGATATATGGGGAGGCTGTGGGAGACAGTTTCAGACTTAGGGGTGACAATGACTCATGTGAGCATTTGTATATTGTTGAACCTTCTGGTCTCCTTGATGCATCAAGTCTACATTAAAATATATCCTTTCACCAGCCTCCGTAAAACCTTCATATCACAGTCTATGGTCTCCACTCACCACTGGGCGTCTCTCTCTGTCCTGCAGGAGACATAACGCTGCACTTGAGCTTGGTTCACTCCGTACATGGACAGCCAAACCATTGCACCACCAACAGAGAGGCTCCAGAAGGAATAGCGCTGCCGCGGGTCAACACCAAAACTGGAGCAAAACATTATCGAAAAAAATCAGCCACACTCCACTCACAACAGCCTCTGTCCAGTAAAACACCAGCAGTTCACACTTACATTCTGGAAACATGTTGCAAGACCAGAGCACTTGACTGTGGTAATGTTTTCACCAAAAAGTACAAAATCTATAATTATATGTAGTTATGCAGTACATCAAGGTCATTTACACCTCACTAATGCAAAGACCATCTTTGAACAAAGGATCTATTCTCATAAAAAGCCATTATCAGTCTGAGATAACGTTAACCATCATGTATGAACGGTAGCTAAACTGTAATGAGATTATATGATGAGAGCGTCATGTGGTTGTTCAAATATTTCTGTGCTGAAATCAAAATATTTTTACTCATTGAAATTAATGCGTGATCCATTCCTGGCGATCTCCAGCACCATGGCAGGACCACCAACTAGAACTGTGCCATAGATGAAAATGGCCACAAAGCCGGACAACATGACAATGATCTGGAAGACGTCAGTCCAGATCACAGCTTTAATCCCACCCTGTGAAAAACATACAAAGACAGAAAGCGAGACAACTGAGACTTATCATAACATATCATTTAAAATCTGGACACTTTTATTATTACCAGAATCAGAATCCAAGGTTTATTGCCAGGTAGGTTTACACATACAAAGAAAGTGCTGTGATGTATTAGAACAAGTATAAATATAAAAAATATACAAGTATACGAACAGTATGAAAATATTATAAACAATAGAAACTAGAAAAACATATGTGTGATATGAATGATAGATATTTAAAATGTGATGTGTGTTCAGTGTGCAGGTTATTGGCAATGGAAAGTTCAAGTGTAAGTATACATTTGTCTAAGTGAGGTTCAAAATAACAAAATATTTGTATATATATCAGAATTTGATTTTATTGGTTCGATGTGTAAACTTCCAAGTGTTCTTATTTTGTACTTGAATAGAAGGAAAGTAATAAAATATAAATTCCATATTCAATAGATGTATGTTTGTAGAATAAGGTAAGAGGGTTCCTGGTTTGAATCCTGACGTTAATCATCTGGATATGCCCTCTCATGTAATAACACACACACACACACAAACATAATTTTGAGTACATGGAAAACAATATGTTCTTGCCATTGTGGTGTACAGGGTGCAAATGATCCCAGTAGAAAAGAGAGATGCCCACATATTGAGTCCAGTAGCTGCAAGAAGAACAAAGGTGTCTGTGTTTGTTCACATGGAATATCCCTTCAAATTAAGTATAGTCACTGCTCATACTCTGTTTGTTTGAGGTCCCTTCCTGAATGAGACGATCCCATTAAACCACACAGACAGTAACAGGACATGCACAGACTGAGGGGCGTTGCCTGGGGCTCCCAAACGTCATTGAAACGCTGCTGCACAGACAGATTCTGTGCGTCAATGTGCAGGTGGGGGGAAACCTTCTGGTTTCTATTTCTAGTTTGGCCAATCCCGTTTGAGCAGGCTTTTGCTGCCGGAAGATTGACATTTGAATGAATCTTCTTGCACATGTAGTTAGCTGTCATTAGTGATAAGTCAAAATGATGTCTGGACCTAAAAGAACTCCAAAAAGTAACACTGTTTGTGTTTTGTGTGGTCACACATTCGACTTGTGTGACAAACAAAACCAGTCCGACTGCAAACAGTGTAGTGTGAATGGAAAATGGAGTCTTGGCCTGACAAAATTATTGGCTGCTGCCCTCAGAGTTTAATTCATCATCAGAAGATAATTGATGGGCTGATATTGTTGTTGCTCTAACCTGAAGCTGTTAAAAAGAGGCCAACTCATACCGTAAGCTTATGAGATTCTAAATCAGCGAACACCAGCTTTCTTTTAAAAAAAATCCAAAGTTTAGTTCAGCTTGACTGACTGTGGTTTACCTAGCTAGTCAGCTGATGAGAAGATAAAAGACATTATTGTGCGATGTTATCCAGACGGGACGAGCTGAGGATTGTTTTGCAACGTGAGATTTTTATTCAATGATTATACAATTCATTGAATCGTTTCCACAACTTTGTAAAAAATGTACAATTAAAATCTCACTCAACGTAGCCAAACCAGACTCATGTAAACATCAGTTAGGACAAATATCACATACAGACAGCATCGCTTCATATCGGCATCTATGATTGAATGATATCACAATTAATTTTGGTCAAACTTTCATAAAACTATTTTCTTATTCTCCAGAGGGGCAGCTGAGTCAAAGGTAAACAGGCAGTATCTTTAGCCCTGAGCTGTACGCGTGGATGGCATCAGGTGATCTCTCCTACCTTGGTTGAGGATTAAGGCGGGGGCATAGATGACGATCCCAGTGTAAAGCAGCTGAGAAAAGTAAACACACAAAAAATCAGCAAACACTGTGAAGCGATGCATCAGGTTTAACCCTGTGGAAATGTTTGATGTTTGGTTATTGAGAAATGAATTAACTGGCCTGGAGTCTGATTCTGAGCCATGGCTAATCTTTATATTAAAAAAGGTTTTGGGAACATGACATCGTTTGAAGATTTTCTTTGACAACACTGAGTAACAGAGAGCACAAGGTCTGTCTTACCGTTGCAATAAGAAACTGGATGCTTCCGAACAGCTGCATCCCTCTGCCAAATCTCATCTTCAGATACTGTGACAGGCAGACAGCTGGAGTTAAAACACATCAGAGTATCTCTGCACACGTCCCTCCTCACCTCCTATATTCACATCCTCTGATGACCCACAGGTGCATTTCTACATTTTGTCAGATAGTTTCTACTTCAATGCTGTGATGGCTCAGAAACATTTACTCTTACTGGAGGTATTTTGGGGCCTCATTAGTTTGTGTTTAGTTTGTTTAAAAACTCAATACCCCTTCACTTTGTTTAATTTTCCACTGCCTTCAAAAACATATTCTCTTATTCCTCTGATAATTCTGTAGAAGGCCATTCTTCAATCTTTGTAAACACTCAACCAAAATGTATATTTCTTCAGGGTTAAAGGTACTGTGTGTTATCTAGTATTAAAGTTGTATGTTGCAGCTGAACACCCCTCACCCTCTCCTTCCAAACATGAAAAAGAAACTGTGGTAGCTTCAGTTGTCATAAAAATTCAAAAGGTTTTAGTTTGTTCAGTCTGGACTAATGTAAAAAACATGGGGGCCTCCGTAGAGGGTCCCCTCGATGTAAATACAAAGTATTTGAATATAAAGGGCCTTTTCTGGGGTAAAGAAAATTACAATTCATACAATTTAGATGAATTGAACTAGTGAAAACATCATGAGAATTATTCTACATTCCATTTCTGCCAATAGTTCCCTTTCACCTAAATCTTACCTGCAGCCTTACGTTGCAATTTCCTGTGATGATGATTTCATGACCTTATCAGTTCTTGGTCATGAGATTTAATGACTAAACTGATCATAATCATGATTGACATTCAAACCGATCATAATAGCGATCATAATTGATCATCATATTAATTTTAGATTTTGACATATGCATGCCATATTAATAGTCCTAATCATAGACAAGTAATGTTATTAAACTCTTAATAAAGTGAAAATGTTTCCTCATAATGCCGGGAATGCTCTTCGTGTAGTCTCTTAGTTTAAGACCAAGATTAATTTATGTCACCTTCAGATTTTGAAATGCTTTCACCTGTACTCGCACTCAAATAGCCCCCGCTTCTCCTTTGATTTGCTCTGCTTGTGCTCAAACTGTGCATTTGCACTCAGATAATTTGTTGCTTGGACAGATTCCCTGGGCTCCCGCCTTAGTTCTTCTTCAGCACAAGCAGAGCAAATCTGAGCACAAATGCCTGCACTCACACAAATTTGTGTGAGCCTGCACTCTTTCATAAAGATCAGTAAAAAAAAGTATTCTTTGTAATAGGCAGTGACAGTTTGACAATAACTGGAAGCTCATTAAGACCTGATTGGTGCTGGTGATGCCCAGTCGAAAGAAAATGGGCAGGAAGAGGTACGCCGTCAGCAGGGAGTTGATACTTTGTCCGAGGCACATGTAGAGGAACTTGAAGCCATAGCGGGACGCCTCGGCAGGGACACCCAGAACCTGGACTGCTGACATAAAACTGGCGCAGAGTGACAGCCCCACAGGCACGGCTGGCATACTCCGACCACCGGTGAAGAACTCATCAGCACTCCTTGACCTCTTCCTCAAGGCCTGAAAGAGACCTATGGCCATAGAGATGAGCAACATGGTGGCAAAGACAGCGTAGTCCGCCAGGACAAAGCTGACTGGTTCACTGGCAGACTGATCCTCCATTTGATGCCCTCTGCTTTGTTTGCTTCAGTTTGCAGGTGAATTCAAATGTTTGGTGGATCTGTCAGAGGGAATTAAAATCAATTAGTCACCAAATGATCAATAGAAACACATGACACCGGCATATCCAGGTGATATCTGTAGTCATTTAGATTTACAAAAAAAATGTAACCATTTAAAATATTAAAATTGTTTACATTTTTAAATGTCACAACTTTCCAGTCAGTATCAACTGGGCCCGGATCTAGAAGTGGGCAGGAACCCAATTGGTCAACTTTATTCTGAGCCATATGAATCTGCCAATCGTGTTTATTTATTTCACCCCTGACAGAATTTCCTGGTTTCTGTATTGCGACTGGACATTGGGTTTAAAAAAAAAAATTATCTGATCAAAATGTGTCTTAATTTGAATGAGCTGACATGACACAGAGGACAACCAAGCCTAATTCTTCAGGTGTTCACAGCTCCATCTGTACAAAAGAAAACCAGTTTATAAACTTGTATAACATCTTGAGCAGTCTGGATCCGGTCCAGGCATCAATATAGTTTTGTGGTAGGATATCATTGCAGCCAAAACTGGTCAAGTTATACATCAAGAATTTACAGATTAAACAAACCTTTGTGATTAAAATATAAGAAGGGAAATTAACCAGTTGCCAAAAGTGAATCAAATGACATAATCTTAGTTTTTTTTTCAGCAGACAATTGTAAAATAATTCACTCACCAGTGCAGCTGCTTCTTCGTTCAACCAAGTTACAAAGGGAGAGAGGAATGTGCTGACTACCTGCAGCGAGCAAGTGTGTGATCAGCCAACGATCCCTCCCCTCGCCCTCTTCACCCAGTGCTGCAGTCATTAAAGCATTTTACACAAAGAACATGATTAACGTTGAGGTGTCATTACACATACAGCGTATGATCCTTTTGTGTGTTCATTAGCACTCTGTCTCTGTGTGTGTGTGCTTATGATTGTTTTATCACATTGCTTTATCTTCTTCTGCAACAGTTTAAAGGCACCAAAACAGATAATTAGCTCCATCGACTGTTTATCTTAGTTAAGTGTAATGGTTGGACAGGTGAACCCAGGTGCAGACACAGACAAGGAGACAGGAGTAGGGAAAGGTATTTTATTGCCAGGCTGAACTTTAGGCTGGAGTGATGGGGGGTAAAGGTGGCAGGTCCAGAAGCTTGTCCCAGGTAAGGGGTGTGAGGCAGGGTTATAGGATAGCAGGTTAGTAGCTAAGGGAAGGAGCAGGGACTGGAGCCAGAACAGGAGGAGCTAGAAGGGAAATGGAGAACAGGATGAGATCAGGCAATGGCTCAATTCTCTATAGTATACACAATAAATAGCTGGAAGCGTGGCAACACTAACTGGTAGCAGAGACTACGGTCTGGCGACGTGGAGGTGGTCAGGAGGAGTATATGTAGATGCTTGATGATAGATGAGGTGCCGCTGGTGAGGCTCTGCTCAGACTCCGGTGCACCTGCAGGTAATCACACTCAATTCAATTCAATTCAATTTTATTTATATAGCGCCAATTCATAATTTACATTATCTCAAGGCACTTTACATTTAAAGGTCAAGACCTTAAAACAATATTAACATAGAGAAACCCAACAGTTCCCACAATGAGCAAGCACAGGCGACTGTGGAGAGGAAAAACTCCCTCATTAACAGGGAGAAACCTCTGGCAGAACCAGGCTCAATGTGGGCGGTCATCTGCCTCGACCGGTTGGGGTGAGGAAAGAAAAGTAAGGGGGGAGGAAAGGAGAGATGGGTAGAGAGCGGGGGAGAGAAGAGAGAGATGAGGTGGAGAGAGAGAGACCGGTAACAATTTGGCACCATCAAAATCAAGGCTAACCATAACAATAACAATGTATAGATCTACAACATGACTAGATATATAAATAAATTGCTAAGTTCTTGTAATAAATGAAGACACTCAGGGAGTGGTAGCAGGTTAGTAGTTCCCAGAACTAGAGGTAGAGGGCATTGTAGGGGCAGTTCGAGGGGCAGATGTAACAATCTTGATGAATCAACTACTAATAGTTCCCCAAAGGTGGTGGACAGAAATGCATAACCATTCAATTACTTTCTCTTTAGAAATATTTTACATATCTAGTTAAAATGTTTGTGACTGTTACACTGATGGAAAACTGGCAACTGAAGATGGCAAACTAGTCGTCAGCTAATCATCAATGAGTACATTTTCATGTTTTCACCCGTCCATTTGTTTGTTGGTGCGGGTTACGGGTGGCACTGCTGTACAGGACTCAAAACCATGTTCAGAGGCAAGTTCGTTTACTAGAAAAAGGTCAGTACACAAAAAGGCATTTTGTTATACTTGGAGCATTTAGATATGATAGCTCCAATCCCAACACCAGTAGCATCAACTTCAACCGCAAACTGGGACTGTGGATCAGGGAGCACCACAACAGGAGCAGAGACAAAACGATCCTTCGACGGCTTGAAGGTTTTGTCGGCTTGAGGGTCCACTGAAACGTGGAAGAAGGGGGAAGCTAAAGTCTCTAATAAAATGTCTGTAGAAGTTAACGAACCCCAAGAACCGTTGAACCTCCCTGCGGTTGGATGGGGATGGCCACTCTGACACGTGGACTTCGCATTTCTCTCCTTTCACAAATGGTTGATGGTCGAGGAGTCGCTGAAGGACCTGATGGACATTGACTGTTCGTCAGGAGAGAAGATTATCCAGGTTAACAAAGACAAAGATGTTGAATATTCAAGTGACGAGCTGCTAAGTAAATACCTCAGACAGCAGAAACCCAATAATGATGAGTAGGAGAACCATCATTAATTTTGAAGGAGAAGCCCCTGACCTGCATGTACCACTAAGGGATAGAGAAAGTGGCTGATATCAAGAAGTCTTACCAGCGTCTGGGAAGGCTGAAGTGATACAACTACACAAACACAGGTGCCGAGTATGGATAAGAACTACCCAAGTCTCGATTGAACATACCACCGAAGGTGGTTGAGGACAACAGAGCTAAGATCCTGTGGGAGTTCAGATTCCAGGACATAGTGGTGGTGGACAAAGAACAGAAGAGGGCAATAGTGACAGTAAGATCAGGAAAAAGGAGCATGAGAAGTTTGAGAAGTACCAGGGGTTGAAAGAATAAGTAGAACAGGTGTGGAAGGTGAAATCCAACTTGATCCCAGTGGTAGCAGCTGCATTAGGGCCTGTTACCCCCAAACTGGGAGAGTGGCTCCGTTTCCCAGGTACAACATCTGATGGCTCTGTCAATAAGAGTGCAGTCCTAGGAACAGTTAAGATGCTGCGCAGAACCCTCAAACTCCCAAGTCTCTGGTAGACGACCCCAGCTTGAGAAAGACATACCAGCCCATGTGGGGTTCAAGGGAGATCTTTTTTTGTATATCCATAAAACAAGTTTAAAAACAACTAAGGATAAATAAAATAACATGAATAAAATAGTTAAACCTCAACTAGAGTCACTTTTTACAGTCACTGAGCCTTTAATATATATGCAAAAAAATGTTCAGCATGCTCCTTTAAAACAAAAAAATATAGAAAACAAAAAACATGGAAAGAATAAACGTAAAGGAATAAATATATAAATAAGACTGATGAAAGCAGAGTATTAGTAATTATTATAACACATATAGCCAAACATTAAAGTGTGTGCAGTTCAAACCTGATTGGTTTTCTTACAGCTACAACAGGAAACTGAAAAACCCTGAGCGCTGAACAGGGAAACCACAGATGTCAGCTGCTTCTCTTTTCCTGTCAGATGAGTTGATTTCTGTTTTTGCATTCACTTTAACAACAACCTACATTTAATGTGAACTAATGATCACATTTAATTCACAAAATCATAATAGCTTCTGCCCAGGAAGTTAAGTTTTCATTTTGTTAGTAAGCAGAATTACGTAAAAAAAAAAAAAAACAACATATTTCTTGCAAGGGTAAGATGTGATGCACTATGTGGCTCCAGAAAACAGGCTGAGGATCCAGAAGTTATGATAAATGTTAAGTCACATTTCCTGTTAAATGGTTAATAGATCCATTTATTATTTCTAGTCGTTGATGTGTAGCATTTTGTAAAGTTCTTTTTTAGATGAAAATAAGTGGAAATGGTAGAAAGCATTTTGTTTAACACTTGTTCATGTGTTTGCTCTGTAACTGTGCATCAGTTCAGTCTGTGGGATGAAAACGGTTGAACAGAGATGACGGGAAACTGTTGTTGCATCTGCTTGTGTAAATCAGGAAATTGAACTTCCTGTCAACACACACAGACACACACACACACATACACACAGCGCAAACGCAGAAGTCAAAGAAAAATGCCTGGTTTACAGGAACAAATGATCGAGAGGACTTAAGCCATACAATTGTAAAGGTAACTTATTGAAATCAATAACGCGTGATATTGATATACTGTTTAAACATCTATCATTTGAAAAGTGCAAAGCGGTTTTTATATGTCAGAGCGGCTAAGATATGTCAGAGTTCGATTTTATATTGACAAGAGCCACAATGCAATGTGAGTAATGTGTCGCTTCCATGTTTTAGTGACTGGATATGTTTTAAAAACTATGATGAAACCTTTGTTTCATAAAGACTTTGTTAAAACTTGTGATAGATGAGTTATATTTTTAACTGAGTTTTGTTTATTTAAATGATTATTTTCTTAGTGAAAATAAACAGATTGTCAGTTTTATCAAAGCAAACAATGCAAGGTGTTTTAAAATCAAACATGGAAATGTGGATTATGTTTCATTCTAGAGTCTTATGTGTTCCTCTGCCTGATGTAACTACAGGAACATGATGAGCAGTTCTGTGACACATCATGGAAACCCCCACAAATCTTCATTCAAACATTATTTAGTGTCACAGTGGGAGTTGTACTCAATACAAAGTTTGCTGAAAGAAATTATACTTCATCATGACATCTTTATTATCTGTAAATGAGTTATGAAACAATCCCATAACAGTAACAGCCATGATGAGTGCTGTGTATTTGCTGTGTAAGTTGGATTTTCTAGGCTCTCTCTATTGTGACTCTGGCTCCTCCTCCTAATGTGTTAGAACACATTTTTTGTGTCTAATTTTTAAAATCTAATTTGTCCAATTAACTCGTCACAACTTTTATGCATTCATGTCTAATTACAGTTTTATGTTTC